CTTGACAGCATCCCTAACCGCCGGTGTCCACCAGCGGGTTCGGGGGTTGCCACCACGACAGGCACCGACGATCCTGCGACCACAGCTCCGGTCGGCCACCTCAACAATGGAGGCACGAAACAGGGTCCATTCAGACTCAATGTCCCCCGCCTCCCCCGGAACATTTTGGAAGTTCTGTCGGAGGTGGGAATTGAAGCTCCTTCTGACAGGAGACTCTGCCAGATGTTCCCAGCAGACCCTTATAGCGTGATCCATTTCTGACCTGAAAGGCCCTGCTCTGTTTTGCTCTGCTCAAAGCAAAACCAGAAGTTTCTGGCACAGAACTAATCTGCATGAGATATTGCTCAAGGTCTCATGCATTTGCTTCTAAACTGTTTCTTCCTTTCCAGCTCAAGAGAAGAATGAAGACAAAGGACTCTTTCTTCTAATAAATCAGAAGAACTCTATTTTTAATAAAGCTAATCAAACAAAGTGTTAGCCCAATAATAAAATGTGAACCAATCTGTGAAATGACAATGTTATGATCAGTAGTTATAATAAGTAATAAACTTTAAATATTTTCACTAGAGACTGATCACACGTGATGCTAAGATCACGTGACACATTTCCTTTTTCTGATCCAATCGGAACCTTCCAGATCTGACGCGAGGCGTGGTTTTGTTGGTGCTTGGTAAATCTGTCCTTTTTTGATTCGACCGTAAATCAAAACATCCAAATTATAAAACTATGCCCACGTCATCTTAACTTCAGTTCAAAGCGTTCTAGAGAAGTTGTCGGAGTGGCCAATCCGTAACTTTCCTCTTAAAGCTGAAAGAACCTAACGACCATCTGGATTAAATCTGTTGCTGTTCCACCTGCTGCAACAGTTCCTTTCAAAATAAAAGCTGAACCATCACAACCCCCTTTTTGGGTCTCGCTATAGATGTCAATAAAACTGTCGTGACCCGGAAGTATCTCAAGACTGGTCTGGTCGTCAACCGCTGCTTTTCCTACCGGCTTCGGTTCCAGAGGAGGTCAAGCTGGACCTCGACATTCCTGATCTAACGGGGACTTCCGCAAAGAGTACGTAGGCCGACAGAATGGCGTCTCAATGTATGTTATAAATCTCCAAACCAAAGCTTAGCGCAAAACATCATCTTCACTCCCATCAGAACTAATCGTTTCTCCGGATCTGCTGGTTCTGAAATATTCACACATACACCATTCTCAGTCTTACTTCACCTTAGTTACACCATACACCTAGTGTTTAAAGTTAGTCTTGTTTTATTTGTTTAGTAATAAATCTTTAAACTTTTAAACCTGACTCACTCTCTTTTCTTGAAGCTGATACGAAGCGTTGCTCAATCCCTGCAATAAAAAGATCCGATCTTCTGGTTAAATTTACTCAAAGATCCATGAAGGTGATATTTCATCTTTTGTGATATTTCACATTTTATGGTTTCTAATTAAATGTAGGAACGTCTTCTCTACACCCTCGCGATACGTTTGGGCCTGCCTGGTCTGACCGGCATCCTCCTCCACCATCTGAGCCAACGCACCACCAGGTAGTGGTCAGTTGACAGCTCCGCCCCTCTCTTCACTCGAGTGTCCAAGACATGCGGCTGCTGGTCAGACAAAACAATAACAAAGTCGATCATCGAGCTGCGGCCTAAGGTATCCGGGTGCCAAGAGCACATATGGACACCTTTATGTCTGAACATGGTGTTCATTATGGACAACCCACGACTGACACAGAAGTCCAATAACAAAACGCCACTCGAATTTAGATCAGGGGAGCCATTCCTCCCAACCACACCTCTGCAGGTCTCACTGTCGTTGCCCACGTGAGCGTTAAGGTCCCTCAGCTGAACGAGGGAGTCACCGAAGGAGCACTTTCCAGCACCCCCTCCAAGGTCTCCAAAAAGGGTGGGTAGTCTGAACTGTAGTTTGGTGCATACGCACAGACCACAGTCAGAACCCGTCCCCCCACACATAGGCGGATGGAGGCTACCCTCTCATTCACTGGGGCAAACCCCAACGTACAGGTACCAAGATGGGGGGCAACTAGTGTGCCCACCCCTGCTCGGCGCCACTCACTGGGAGCAACTCCAGAGTGCTAGAAAGTCCAACCCCTCTCAAAGAAACTGGTTCCAGAGCCAGAACCATGCGTTGAGATGAGTCCGACTATATCTAGTCGGACTCATCTCAACCTCACACACCAACTCAGACTCCTTCCCCACCAGAGAGGTGACATTCCATGTGCCAAGAGCCAGCTTCTGTAGCCGAGGATCAGACGGCCAAGGTTCCCGCCCTCGACTACCACCCGTCACACACTGCACCGACCCCTTTGGCCCCTCCCATGAGTGGTGAGCCCATGGGAAGGGGGACCCACGTTCCCTCTTTGGGCTGTGGGCTCCATGGGTGAAAGCCCGGCCACCAGGCGCTCATCAACGTGCCCCACCTCCAGGCCTGGCTCCAGAAGGTGGCCCCGGTGACCCACGTCCGGGCGAGGGAACACGGTTTCCATTTATATAATTCATCATAAGAGGTCTTCGGGCTGCTCTTTGTCTGATCCCTCACCTAGGACCTGTTTGCCATGGGTGACCCTACCAGAGGCAGAAAGCCTCTGACAACTTAGCTCCTAGGATCATTGAGACACTCAAACCCTTCCACCACGGTAAGGTGGCAGCCCAGGGAGAGGGCTCAAACCTGGAGTTATTTAAAGTCACTTTGTTTAATAAGATATGCTGTTAGGTTTTACAGTGAGTGGTGACGACACCAGAAAACACAGTCTCCTGTTCTGACCCACCACATGAAACCAGATAAAGTCTACTTGCTGCGTATCTTTGAGCAACATTTTAAAAGGTCCAGCTGTAACGCTTCAGCCGACCTCTCACCCTGTCACATTTCTGCTTCACTAATATAAGCCTCAGATTTGCATTTGCATCACTTTCTTCACCAATGTTCAACACAACACATGTTTTTTATCAGACTCTTGGGCTGCAGCAGACTTTCTGGGGAACAGCGTCGGTTTCAGACCCTCTCCAGCTTTTCCCCTTTGATCTTGCCTTTTGAGACACTTAATCTTGACTCACGTGCACACTCAAGCACGTCGTGTCTGCACCGTTTGATACACAACTTCCTGCATGGACGTTTTTCTGAAGGTCCGAAGCAGACACGGCCTTTATCAGCACGTGTGTTTGTTGATTGTGTATTTACGTGTGCCTGGGTGTGTCCGTCTGGGTGCAGATGCATGATTTACATCAACACACACCGTTTGTGTGCATATGGCATGTGTGTGTTTCTGTGTGAGGGATAGCTCTTTGGAAATTTGTCTTGGCTCTTCTGCAGGATTCCTGTAATTTCATCTTTACCCTCCTTTTACAATGCTGTAGCAACAGGACTGCTCAAACTTCTCCCTCTAAACTTTAATGCAGTCCTGTTTTCCTGAGAAATTCACCAGTGATGGCAGACAGACACGTGGACCTGGTTAGAAACGTGCACATCATGTACACAATCTTGTGTCTAGCGATAACTGCTCCCATCTGCCTCGTCTGAACAGAACGCACATCTGGAGCAGAAAAAGCAGGGTCCGTGGAACTTATCAAACGTTTGAGGCATGCTGAGGTTTCATGTTAGATTCAGCTTCGTAGACTCTAGAGTTGAACTGGAAACCATCACGGTTGCACACAGACTGTCACAGGAACCGAAGGCGCAGCAGCTAACTGCTCCAGATGTCACTCTGTGTATGTGTGCAGCCGGAACATGGATCTGCTGCTGGAACAAGCAGAGTTTAGCTCTTTTTGTCTCTTGGCTCATGTTTTTGTGAGCGTTCCTACGTGAAAAAGATAAATCTGTTGCAGAATTTCTGTGGAACAATGAAAAATAAAATCTGGAGAGTATTTTCAGAAATTAGATGTTTTTAACTCTGGAAATGGTTATGTAGACAACCCCCCCCACTGCCACCACCCACCCACTCAAACTGGAACACACTTTTTTCTCCATGTGGGAGACATAAAAAAAGAAGAAATAAAAAATAAAGGGGCTGTGTGTGAAAGAGAGAAGAAGAAACTGGTGTTCTCTCTCTTTTTGTCGGGGGGAGGAAGGTCATTCCTGTTCTATGAGTCACAGTTTTAAGAGAGACCAGAACACCCCCTCCAGAATCTCATGTACACACACATGCACGCACGCACGCACGCATGCACACACACATACACACACACTCATCCCTCTCTTTTTAAGGAAAGACCCTTCCACATGCAGAGACGGAGAGCTGATCTCCACATTAATAACTCTGGACATCTGGCCTTCTCCTCCAGCTCAGCTCTTCTCTTCCTTCCGTTTCCACAAATGGATAAGAATTCTCTGACATCTCTCTTCCACCCAGCTTCTGGACTTAACTTCATTTTTAACATTGGATTTAGTTTTCTTGGGGCTTCTTGCCGTTCAGAGTCATGGTATCCTACGCCTTCCTCCAGTGGCAGCTCGACATGCATGATCAGCTAATGATGAAGTGGAACAAAACAAAAGTTTACATTAATGGTGTGCACGTGTGTGTACAAGTTTGCACAAACACTGTAAACATCTTGTTTAGACAGAGACCTCCCAACAAGTGCACAAACTCTGAGCTCACTGCATCAGGCTGACGGCTGAGTGGAGAACCTGCAGATGTATAAAATAAACACTGTGAGGTTGCTGGTGTTTACATCGCCTGTAAACTCCTCTCGCTCGTCCTTCATATTGCAAACAGACCACCAGAAACTCAAGTGACAGTCCATGCATGTGTGTTTGTGAGCGTGGAGGGGGTCCGGAGTCTGATCCACATGTTTGGAATTACCTGTAAATGTGGTCTGAGGGGGGGTGCGTGGGTCCAGATGGGTCCACATCACAAAACTCAGGAGCATGCGTTTGCAGACTCTTGCGGCCGTGCGCGCGTGCGTGCACGCGGGTCCCAGTGGAGCCACGGCGCCCCCACGCGGACACACCGCGGTGAATCGCACGCGCGCGCACGGGAGGAGGGATCAGGGCTGGACCAGGACCAGGACAGGACGGCTCTGCTGCGGGAAACGCGCATCCAGGGCTTTCTCCCCCACTTTGACCTCCCGTATCCCCCTTTTTCTTACTCGTCTTTCCCTCCAGTGGACATGAGGAGATAATCAGCTGCTGCAAGGTTCGGAAGTTTTCAAAAGTCAAGGTAAGCTGCGCTTTTTACGCACAACTAACCAGAGTGTTTAGTCTGGCTTCTTTCCTCACTCAAACCTCACATTTCTATTCCGTTCTCTTTATATGGGACACCAGTGTTGCTTTTTCTTGTTTTGTTTTGTTTTCTTCTGACTTTAACCAGTCCAAGCAGCAATGAGAGTTGGCTGAACATAAAACCCACCAGACTTCCTGATGGGGTTTTGCTCAGACTGTTTTGGTTCTATGTGCCTTCTCTGCGTATTTTGCATGATGCATCCACCTGTGCTGTGATGAAATGCTGTCATAAATCGGTTTCACGCTCCGGTCCGGGCCTGGACGGTGAGAAAAGAGAGCGAACATCTGCAGGAGTGACCCTTCTGCGTGTTGCTGTGTGTCCGCTAGAGGGAGCCACAGCAACGTGGTTGCTACTGAAAATACATACTTAAAATTAACAACACGAGTTAGAAACTCTCTTTGTTGAGTTGAATCTGGTTACATGTGTCACAGATGGTATGAAAGATCTTCATGTAGAAAATCTATAATCTACTCTTAATCTAAGCTGGATCTGTGGCCATTTCTGGGGTGTCGGGGAAAGAAATGTGCAATTTGCTTTAAAGAATAAATTCAGGTAATAATAGAAAATATAGAAGCAATAATATTATATTTTAGTTTCATGATGCTGCATCTATAAAAGAGACACTTTCCAGAGGGGAAGAAGGCTCTACATGTTCATAACTCAACTTATTTAACTTTTTCTTATCTTTAATACATATTACATTTTAATTCAGACTATTTTATTTTATACATGTCTAAAACATTTCACCTACATGTTTCAAGGCCTTCTGCTGCTTTAACCACAGCCGAACATCCTGGCTGTGACTCAGGCCCTCTGAGTCTTACTTAACCCAAATCTGTCTGCTAACCCTAACCCTAACCCTTACCCACACGTCAGTTCTACTTGTTTTCACCTAGTCTACAACTTTTTTTTCATAACCTGAAAGGATTAATGTAAAACAACATTTAATAGCATCAAACTCATTTTAAATATGAATTCTGGACAACATGTTTTCCAGTGCAAGTCTTATATCTTAAAATTCAAATATAGAAACAAATATGAATGAAAATAATTATTTTAAAGTTAAACTACATGAAACAGAAACTAAATATTTTGAATCAGGCATAATCGTGTAAATGCTGAAATCCCTGGCACTTTTTAAAATAAGTATTCTGCCATTTTAGCGACCCAAAAAGTACCAGAACCGCTCACGGCGCACGCGCAAACATGCTCGCCAGTGGTCGCTTTCATTTATACACTTTTTTTGGCGCACGATGACAAGGATTGTCAAGAAAGCATGTTTGTCATGTTCATGTCAAAGTTAAACATTTGGATGTTACTCAGTATTTATATTTGATCCTAGATATTCAGATTTAAATGAAAATATGTGCAAAATTCACCATGTGGGTCTCTACTGCCTTTATAGACCCTGTCCATCCATTTTCTGTCTGTTTTTGATTTTAAGAATTATGTGCCTAAAACAAGCTGTTTCTAAAAGTCCCTGTTTGTGATGTCACAAATGGGAAAATTAGACTAAAACTACCTCTCATGTGCAAAAGAGAGCTGCTGCTGGAGGGACAGCAGCTGAACTCGTCACCGAGCCAATCAGGGGATGGGTGGGCGTGGCCAGCCTAAGTCTGTTTTCTTCAAGTGACAGAGCCATGAAATGACTAACTGTGGAAGGTACTGATACAGTCAAAAATAAAAGTGCTGAAATCTATTCGTGTGAGAGAAATTTAGTGCAAGGACAAAATGTTTTGTATCAATTGTAAAACTATTATAACTTAAGTAAAATTCATAATTTTTCCCCTTCAGCCTGATTCATTTGGCTTTAATTTGTAATGTTCAAGATTAACTTTATATGTATAGATTTGATTGTAAATATTTATGTTTACCCATTGTTCAAGCAAAATGTGGTAAAACACAGTTGCAGAGTCCTGTCTTTGTTATTTTATTCTACTATTAGTTGTTCACGTTTTGGATGGAGCCATTTTTGAATCTGCCACCCCCCCCCCACCCCCCCCTTAATTCATGATGACTGTGACAGCCATCTTTTTTCCAGCTAAAATAAAATAGTTGTTGGATAAAAACAGATGAAATGCATTTGCTTTGCTATAGTGTAATATTTTAAGACATTTTTTATTTGAGTGGTTTTAAAACATAAACTTCCTGTTTTCATATTTAAGATTATTACATTTTTGTTTCTTTTATTCTCATGGGTTCTCTTTTGTTCAAAATAAATAACTTTACGGGAGAAAAAGAGACAGCTAACCTTACCTCTAGTGTCCTGGTGCCGGTGTGTGTCAGACAGGAGATGGAGAAGAACATCATGCTGGGGTTGGAGGTTGCCATGCTCTGCCTCCTCTTTGGAGCCCTGACTCACGCTCAGACAGGAGAATGCAGCAGTGAGTGAAACAAACTGATCTCCTCCACAACAACAATACTAGCTATTTTTCCATCAGCACTGAAACATATTTGTTTGTGTGTTCCTCCAGAGAAAAGAAAGTGTCCCATCGATGTGTACTTCACCATAGACACGTCTGAAACCATCGCCCTGCAGGAGTCACCTCCTGGATCGCTGGTGGAAAGCATCAAGGTTCAGTTTTTTTTTTACTACAGATTTAAAATCACAAGGTCAGACACAAACATGCTGCTTCTGACGTAATCCATTCAGTCCAGTCTGATCTGACTTCTGATCATCTACCTACTGGTGTCTAATGAATGCATGCTGATTATCACCAAATAAGCAAATGTTTTAGAATTAATTCAAACTAGATGTTGTAAAAGCCATCACTCAGCACAGATTACTCAATGTCATTTACTTTGCAGCGATTGGCTGTCATTGCACAAACATTCTGTGCAGACCCCGAGCAGGAAACGGACAAATAGAATGAACAGTGGTGGCGCCAGGGGGCGCTAGGGGGCGCTCTGGCTACCCCTGGATTAGTCATTGCACCCCCCCATAGCACCCCCAAGTAAATATTAGATTTTTTTTTTACAATTTAATTTTAATTTTACGTGTGGATGTGATAATATTTAACATACAAAAACAAAAATAATCAGTAAATTATCATATAGATAGTAAAAACTTAAACCAAAACAGGAAATGGATGTTAACCTTTGACCTCATTTTCCACCTGCAAACGAGTGAAAGGTAGAGCTAGTGGTAAAATGGATCGGTTTTTGTTGACCAATTTTCCACGGGTTCAGTTTGAATGTTTGGAAGTGATCGCAGACCCACATAAACCTACGGATCTGGATGAAGAGAGTCAACCCTCAACTGCCACAGCAGTCGAGGGTTTTGCCGCCAGAAATGCTAACACTAACGTTAGCTAAACTTGCAACACTATAGATGTTTTTCTGTGTGGCTGTATGCGTTTATGATTTCATGGAAAAGTCAGCGATTGTTCATATGTTTATGATGTATATTAATGATTGTTTCAGGTGTTGTTGAGATTTTGTGCACGCATGTGTATGCTAGTGTTGAAGGTGTTTTAGAGAACAATAGGTACGCATGACCACTTCCTTCATAGCACCCTCAATAAAAAGACTAGCTCCTTCATAGCACCTGCAGAAAAAAAATTTCTGGAGCCGCCACTGATGAACAAGGACATGAAAAAACATAAAACATAATAAAACTTTGCCCTTTGCAGGTTTATTGATGAATAAACTGCTGTTTTATCATTAGCTTGTGTGCAGCATAAAGAAGTCTTAGCTTGTAATGACTAACAGCATGGCCAGACAACAACCAGTTTACATGTGGCATTAGAAAAAGCTGCAATTGTATCATTGAACAAAAATTTAAAAAAATCACAACGCATCTTTTTCATTTGCCCTGATTTGTAGCCTATGACTGTTTTGGGGGCATGACCAGAGCAGAACCTGGTCAGTAAAATGAGCTCCAGGTAAATATTATGTTTCACATCCCAAGAAACTAAAATAGTGACCACATCTCATTCAACAAATCGCTCTAATGTTAATCAATGAAGTTATCAAACACATATAAGAGTGTGTAGACATGATGTACCATTATGCAAAAATAAAAACAATTACCAGATATCTATCTGTTCTTAGACCGAGAGCAGATGATCATTTGAGGACTATACCTGCATCTTCAGTGTCATTGTTAATCATGACCCATAATGCAACAGTCGTGCACAAATAAGTAAACTTCAGCAGGTTTAGAGCTGCCTTATTATAACATTCAAAACCACCTTGAATAATAACTATTTTTCATCTTCATTGAGTTGATACAGAAGCATTTTGCTGTCAGAGCACATGAGGAAAAAAGGATTGGTATCTCGACATAATGAGACATTAAAGAACATGCATCATATGGTGCTGTTGTGTTTTCCCCTCATTCAGCCATCTTTACTTCGGTGGTGGACGACGTGAGTTCATCTGGATGAAGAGAAAAATAAAGGCATGTTTTGGTGATTATTTGAAGACAAAATCCCAATTAAAAAACAAATTTGATAAACTGCAAATCCCGAGTCATGTGACACGATACACTGAATTCAAAATAAAACTAGAAAAGTCCTCTTTAACATCTAAATTTGTCCGCTTGTTGTTTCTATTTATCGTAGTTGTTGCATTTCAGTGGCTCTGTGGACTCAAACGCTCTTGAACCTTTATTTTTTTCATCGTTTATTTCATTCGAAATAAAAACAAGTTTCTTTTACTTTTTGAATTGCAATCCCATCTATTTCCAATGCCACATCACTGTTCTTTTTGTCATTAAACAGTATAAAATTTGTTTTATTAAGATTCAGTGTCAATCTATTTATATCAAACCAGTTTTTAATTTTAATCAGTTCATCATTTATCACTTTAGCCACCTCCTCAATATTTGATCCTGAGTAAAACAGTGTTGTATCATCTGCAAATAGAATCGTACAGAGTGTCTTAGATACATTTACCAAGTCGTTAATAAACAAAATGAACAGTTTTGGTCCGAGGACCGACCCTTGTGGCACTCCACAATTAATTTCACATAGTTTTGTCTTTATCTGAACAAACTGTTTCCTTTTCTCTAAATAGGTTGTAACCCATTGATGAGCCACACCTCATATTGCATACTGACTTAATTTTCGAAGTAACCTTGGGTGATCAATGACATCAAAAGCTTTTTTCAAATCAATGAAAACACTAATGAAGTCATTTTTATTGTCAACTCCTGTTGATATTTTATCCATTAATTCCATTGTTGCCATTGCTGTGGAATGTTTAGTTCTAAACCCATATTGTTCATTGTTTAAAATACTATTTTTTTCGATGAATTTATCCAACTTCTTGTATAAAATGAATTTACATTCATGCAGTCTGAGACTCAAACCAACCAATCATCTCTAACTGGTAACTCGCGTTGGCAGTGGTTTATAATGTGTGGTTTCCTTTTTGCAGCAATTTGTTGAGCAGTTTGTAAATCGTTTGAAAGATGAAGAAATCAAGGGCAGTGTACAAATCACCTGGAAAACCGGAGGACTTCACTTCTCCAAGAAGCAAGAGATCATTAGCTCCATTGGTTCCATGCCAGACTTCCTCACTGTGAGTAGTTCACAAACAAAACACAACATCACAGTTATTTCCAAACCTTACATTAATTGTACTATCAACTTATATAAAGATACACAGAATTTTTTCTGCCTTCGCGAAAAGTCCCATTTACAAGCACCGCTATGTTGGTTTTGGAACTAGAGTCTGCACATTCAAACTGTAAGGGCTGAAAGTTCTCATCCACACATAATCACCAAGTTTTTTAAACAGCTAATAACAATGTGCAAGATGGCTTACAACGTACACTGAAACCAGCCACGGAGCTGATTTTTGTGATAGATATAACTTTTGGTTGTGTGTTTAACAATTAAAATGTCAGTTACAACCAAACCAGTGGTGGTTTTAAATTAACATGTTGTAACACAGAGGCGTGTGCAGGTTGGAAAAGTCAAACAGTTTGTATTATAAATAAGGATTTTAAAACACAAATCTCCATTTGGAAAAGGTCAATAAATAGTGTGTAATAGCTTAGTGATGACATGTTTAAAATGGGGATGGTGGAGCCTCTTCACTAAAACCCATTAAAAGCCAAGGAAACACACAAGGACCATGTGGGGGAGACGGCACAGATCCGATTCCCTCATTTCTTCTTCTTCTTCAATAAAAAACTGCGCCCAATTGAGAGCACACCCTCTCATAAACACCAATCTTCCGCAGAAAAGCCAGCTCCAACACCACTGCCACCCAGCCACTCTCAGGGTCTTTGGAGCTATCAGGATATAGGTGCAGGTATGACCCCCACACTGCCTATATAAAACCCATAAAAGCCCCAGTCACTCACCCCAATCTCGATCTAAAAAAATAATAGTCCACCTCTTCAACGTGTCCTGGGTCGACCCGGGGGCCTCCTGCCGGCAGGACATGCCCAAAACACCTCCCCAGGGAGGCATCCAGGATGCATCCTGACCAGATGCCCAAACCACCTCAACTGACTCCTTACGATCCAGAGGAGCAGCGGTTCTACTCCGAGTCCCTCCCGAATGTCCGAGCTCTTCACCCTATCTCTAAGAATGAGCCCGGCTACCCTACGGAGGAAACTCAATTTGGCCGCTTGTATTTGCGATCTCATTCTTTCGGTCATTTCCCAAAGCTCATGACCATAGGTGAGGATTGGGACGTAGATCGACCGGTAAATCGAGATCCTGCAGACGCTGAACCAATCCGCCTGTTGATCTCCTGATCCCTCCTACCCTCACTTGTGAACAAGACCCCGAGATACTTAAACTCCTCCACTTGAGGTAGGACCTCTCTCCCGACCCGGAGTTGGCAAGCCACCCTTTTCCGGTCGAGAACCATGGTCTCGGATTTGGAGGTGCTGATTCTCATCCCAGTCGCTTCACACTCTGCAATAGCTGAAGGTCAGAGCTGGATGAAGCTAGGAGGACCCCATCATCCACAAAAAGCAGAGACGAGATTCTCCTGCCACCAAACTCGACACACTCCACACCACGGCTGCACCTAGAAATTCTGTCCATAAAGGTCATGAACAGAACCAGTGACAAAGGGCAGCCCTGGCGGAGTCCAACCCTCACTGGGAACAGGTCCGACTTACTACCGGCTATGCGGACCAAACTCACGCTCCTCTGGTAAAGGGACTGAATGGCCCTTAACAGAAAGCCACCCACCCCATACTCCTGGAGCGTCCCCCACAGGGTGCCCCTGGGGACACGGTCATAAGCCTTCTCCAAATCCACAAAACACATGTGGATTGGTTGGGCAAACTCCCATGCCCCCTCCATCACCCTTGCAAGGGTATAGAGCTGGTCCACAGTTTCACGTCCAGGACGAAAACCACATTGCTCCTCCTCAATCTGATATTCAACTATCGATCGGACCCTCCTCTCCAGTACCTTGGAGTAGACCTTTCCAGGGAGGCTGAGGAGTATGATCCCCCTATAGTTGGAACACACCCTCCGGTCACCCTTCTTAAAGATGAGGACCACCACCCCGGTCTGCCACTCCACAGGAACTGCCCCCGATGACCACATAATGTTGCAGAGACATGTTAACCATGACAGCCCTACCACATCCATAGCCTTGAGATACCCAGGACGACTCTCATCCACCCCCGGGGCTCCGCCGCTGTGTAGTTGTTTGACTACCTCAGCAACTTCTGCCCCCGAGATTGGGCAGTCCATCCCCAGGTCTGCCGGCTCTGGCTTCTCCTCGGTATGTGCGTAGGTGGGATTGAGGAGCTCCTCAAAGTAGTCCTTCCATCGCCCGACTATAGCCCCAGTTGACGTCAGCAGCTCCCCATTCCCACTGTAAACAGTGTGAGCGAGTTGCTGCCTCTCTCTCCTGAGGCGCCGGACAGTTTGCCAGAACCTCTTTGGCGCCGATTGATAGTCTTTCTCCATGGCCTCACCAAACTTCTCAACAATCGCAAAGTGGAACAAGGCCCACTCGGAGTTGATGTCCCCCACTGCTCTCGGGATGCGGTCAAAGCTCTGCCGGAAATGGGAGTTTAAGACCGTCTTGACAGGTTCTTCTGACAAGCATTCCCAGCAGACCCTCACTATGCATTTGGGTCTGCCAGGTCTACGCGGCATCTTCCTCTGCCATCTGATCCAACTCACCACCAGGTGATGATCAGTTGACAGCTCCGCTCCTCTCTTCACTCGGGTGTCCAAAACATACGGCCGCAGGTCAGATGAAACGACTACAAAGTCTATCATCGACTTGTGACCTAGGCTGCCCTGGTACCAAGTGTACCGATGGGCATCCTTATGTTCGAACATGGTGTTCGTTATGGCCAAACTGCGGCTTGCACAGAAGTCTAATAATGAAACACCACTCGAGTTCAGCTCAGGCGGGCCGTTCCTCCCAATCACATCCCTCCAGGTCATGCTGTCATTGCCCACGTGAGCATTGAAGTCCCCCAGCAGGACAATGGAGTCCCCTGATGGAGCACTATCTAGCACTCGTCCCAGGGTCTCAAAAACGGTGGGTAATCTGAACTGAAATTTGGCGCATAAGCACAAGCAACAGTCAGGACCCATTCCCCGACCCAAAGGCACAGGGAAGCTACCCTCTCATCCCCCGGGGTAAACCCCAACACACAGGCAGAGAGTCTTGGGGCTAACAAAAATCCAACACCAGCCCTCCGCCTCTGACCAGGAGCAAATCCAGCAAAGGAGAGTGTCCAACCCCTCTCAAGGACTTGGGTTCCAGAGCCAATGCTATGTGTCGAGGTGAGTCTGACTATGTCTAGCTGGTACCGCTCAACCTCTGCCACAAGCTCCTGCTCCTTCCCCGCCAGCGAGGTGACATTCCATGTCCCAATAACCAGTTTCCTTGTCCGGGGATCGGACCGCCAAGGCTCCCGCCTCGGTCTGCCACCCGATCCACAATGCACCGGACCCTTCGTGTTCCTCCTGCGGGTGGTGGGTCCACAGTTGGATGAGCCCATGTATCCGGTTCGGGCTGGGCCCGGCCGGGCCCCATGGGCGAAAGCCCGGCCACCAGGTGCTCGCTCACGGGCTCCAACCCCAGGCCTGGCTCCAGGGTGGGACCCCGGTAACCAGCCGGGCCAGGTACTCCTACTCTTTGTTTTTACGTCCATGAAAGATTTTTTGAACCGTTCTTTGTCTCACTCTTCACCTGAGACCCATTTGTCATGGGAGACCCTACACGGGGCACAAAGTGCCCCAGACAACATAGCTCCTAGGATCATTAGGGCACTCAAACTCCTCCACCAAGATAAGGTGACGGTTCAAGGAGGAGTGAACCATTGCCATCAGAGGTATTACTTTTGATGCCGACACCCTCTTCTCGGATGAGAGCTCCACTGTTGCTTGATGGAATGGAGCAAGAATGCATAAGGTGTCCTTAATGATGTCATAATCCGGTGCTGTCAGTGGGGGTCTTTCTGTTGGTAAGGATGTCAGGGCAGCCCCCACTGGCTCTCAGGTCGTACACACGTTGAAACATTTGGAATGTACTGTTCCAACGAGTGTCAACTTCCACAATCATTTTAAGGGGCTGCCTTCCCATTTGTTCCTGCACCTGGAACAATCGCTCCTTTGCTGTGGTGCTTGTCCTGAAATATGTTACGAGCCGTCTACATTTAGCTCTCAAGTAACTTAGCCCATCAACGTCATCACATGATTTTCGGACAATGAGATTAATGGCATGGGCAATGCAAATTGTGTCCCTTATGTTTAGTTTTTTTGCACAGGCAAGCATGTTTCATGGCCCATATGTAATAAGGCATTTTACTTTGTTAACAATGCCCCACTCCTCCATCATCTTAATATGCCCATCAGCCAAGTTTTCAGCTGTGTGAACCACTGGAGTCTGGGGATCAAATCCCACCCGGGCCTTCGTCTCTTCGCCTTGCCACATTTGGTGTTGTTGGCAGGATCCATGTAGTACTGTGAAGTAGGTCCATGGATTTGAAGTTTGTGGCACCCTGCGCGGGAGCACAGGGACGTGCTTGTGGAAAGAGGGGGGAAGATGTAACAGGGTGAGCGTCCGGTTACCAAATCCCGATTGATCATGCACCTTGGCTACTTGGCCAAGGGGATGTTCCTTTGGCTGACTGGTTAGCACGCATGACTCTCACCCGGGAGTCTGGGTATCAAATCCTGCCTGGGCCCTCGTTTCTCCACCTTGCCACACTTCACTTGGCTGTCACTACTAGCCATTTTTAAAATGGGGATTCTAAATTAAACAGACATCTAAAATGCTCTCAAACATAAAAAACAAGGTCCACTGACCATACTCACAAGTTTGGACCATGAGAAGGAGCCAGCACTCTGGTCCCTCGCCTGTTTTACAATCTAAAAGCACTTGCTTTTACCCATTAAAACAGCCAGACTAAAACAAATAAAACCTTTAAAACACCAATGCAGCCAACAAGAAGCCATGGCACGGATCCGGTCAACCAGTCCCAGTCCTTTTTCAGGGGCAGCTCCTCTCCTTTATGCTGCACTGGGGCTGACGAGCTGATTGAGTCCAGGTGTGGAAGCAGAAGGGAGGAGGAGGGGAGGTCTCTCGTGATTGCTGAGCCTTTGTGGAGGTAGGAGATGGCAGCAATTTATGTCCTGAGCTCCCATCCCCGGGGTGAAAAGGCACCAGCCGCAACAACGGTTCACCTACTGAAGATGGTTTGTTTAGTTCACACGTTACAAATAATAAAATATGCTTTTTCATAACATTAACAGTGTATGAAATGTCTCTCGGCTATTCCCTGCAATGTCACAAGGATGTCATCACTTCTGTTTCAAACATGGTGTTCATTCTACTCTCTTCTATTCTGTCTAGATAAATAAAACAGGAAAGTAATATGATGAAAACATGTTAACCTGTTTATTCTTTCAGCGCCTTAAAGCCATCAGGTACCTTGGAAACGGCACATACATCGACTGCGCCATTAAGAAAATGTCCAGTGAGATGTTGGCAGCGCCGCAGGAGTCCTCAAGTCACTCGACCCTCCGGTTTGGTGTGGTCATCACTGATGGTCACGTGACTGGAAACCCCTGTGGGGGTATTAAGGTGGCAGCTGAAGATGCTCGCGATAAGGGAATCCGGATGTTTGTGGTGGCAGCATCAAACAACATCGAAGAGACTGAGTTAAGGGAGATCGCCAACTCTCCTGCGTCGGTCTTCAGGGACGAATTCATGGCTGTGGATCTGAGCCAAGGCAGACCCAAAATAGACATCGCAACCATGGATCGCATCATCAAGACAATGGTAACGCACAAATGTCCACTAACTCACCGAACACCTCTGCTAATGACTTGTGTTCTCAAATGTTGTCTCTTCTGTCTTCACAGAAACATTTGGCTTATGCAGAGGTAAGACTGGACCCTCAGAATCATCTTTACAACAAATCATGAACATCTGAATATGATTCATTCACTGATCTACTGTTTTCATCATGTCCAACCGCACTAGTGTTACAAAGTGTCCTGCCTGGAGACAGAAGGGCTTCCTGGTCCAAAAGGCCACAGAGGACAGAAAGTATGCTTTACACGCATATTTGGTATTGACAGTACACAACCACCACTTTATCAATGATGTTTTCTCCTTTGAACTTGTTCCCCATAGGGAGCTAAAGGAGACAATGGTGAAGGAGGACAAAAGGGAGAAAAAGGTCGTGCAGGAGACCCTGGCATCGAAGGACCCATTGGTCAGCCTGGTACCAAAGTAAGAGGTTTTCTTTGAGCAGATGTTTCCTGGAGCAGATTGAACATCTGTATTGTTGATGAGCATGATCTGATATTTAACTTTTGTTCTGATCTACAGGGTGAACCAGGTCATAAAGGAGAGAAGGTGAGGGTGCAACTTCAGGATCTAAACTTCAGCGTTTAGATTGTGGATCAGTGCTGTTTGCTGGTCAGTGTGCTGGTCTAATTTCTGATCTTCTGTCCAAACACAGGGAGAGATCGGCACTCAAGGGAAAAAGGTGAGCGTCGCACGTCTGCTTGTTACTGATTTTATTTGGATAGGTGATTGCCTCTAATCGTCCCCATGTATTTTCATTAGGGTGTGGCTGGTATTCCAGGCCGCAATGGAACTGATGGACAAAAGGTGAAGTTTGAAGATGAGATTGTGTTCTGCGCTTTCGTGAGAAAGTGTTCTGAAATGTTATTCGATATTTACGTGTAACTGATTTGTATTCAATCTTACTTTCAGGGTAAAATTGGACGGATTGGTGCTCCAGGATGTAAAGGCGACCCAGGCAACATAGTACGGCACTAACTATTATCTAAAGCAATTGGAGGATCTTCAGTGTCTGGTGGTCTTTTTATGGTCTTTGTTGAATGCGTTTTAAGGGTCCTGATGGTCACCCTGGAGATGTTGGTGAACGTGGTCTCCCTGGAAATGATGGAGAGAAGGTACACAATCCTTTCTCCATTAATACTCAATCCGGCATTCATCCATGCCATGGTTAACATTGACTCTTTTTCACAAGGGGGATCCTGGTCGCCCCGGAAGACCCGGTTCCCCTGGACCACCCGGTTCACCCGGAGTTAAGGTACAGTTCAAATTCAGGAAATACCCCGACACTTATTGTAGGCCAGTATTTTTACACAGCTGTCAGTGTTGGAGGTAAAACTAAACTCTGATGTCTCATCTGAAGGGAGAGACGGGAAGTCCTGGATCTCCTGGTGCACCAGGACAGAAAGGAAACCAAGTAAGATGCCTGGAACAAAAAGTCTATTTAAACCACATCTCTCATATGAAGTATTTGATTTGTGTATTTTCTTTGTTAGGGACCCCCTGGAGATGCTGGAAAAATAGGCGACGAAGTAAGAAAACTTAAGTCACTTTAAATGAAATGCTTCCCACATGTTCTGCCTTTATGGTGCCTGATGGCTTCAATGACTGCTGTTTTTTAGGGAAGAAGAGGAGACATCGGGCCTAAAGGGGCCCAAGGGCAAGATGGTCCTAAAGGAGAGAAGGTGTGACCCCACACAAAAGATCTAACCTTGTCACGTGAGCACCGGTTATAGTTGTTATTGAACACCTCGAGGCTAAGGGTTATCCTGATTTGTTTCAGGGTGAAAATGGACCAGATGGCCCGAGAGGAGTCTCGGGTGAAACCGGAAACAAAGGAGCAAAGGTAGAGAGAACATTACACGATCGGGTGTGTGGTCATAAAAAAAACATGCACACCCACATTTTGCTTCATTGCGTCGCAGGGAGACATTGGATTACCAGGACCGAGGGGACCTTCAGGAGCACTAGGAGAGCCTGGGAGAAATGTTGGTAAACATTCACATTGAGGAAAAACATGCTGAAGCTGCTGCTCTAACATTGTTTGAACTTCAGGGTACCAGAGGTGACCCTGGAGATGCTGGACCAAGAGGAGAGCCTGGACAGCCCGGACCAAAGGTTCGTACCAGTGCATTTGTGTCTTTGTGGTTGCTCCATCTTTGGTCTTTTTAATTCAGTGGTTATGTTATTGCTTTAGGGAGACACCGGAAGACCTGGCTTTAGCTACCCTGGACCAAGAGGACCATCGGTAAGAGACACAGCCATTTAAATATTCCAAGTCATCCAAATGCTTTTGGCCAACACTGATTTCCCCTACTGGTCCACAGGGTGAGAAAGGACAGAAAGGTAATCGAGGAGCTCGTGGAAGCAGAGGGGACTGTGGTCAAAAAGGAGATCCTGGAAATAAAGGAACTCCAGGAGAGGCTGTAAGTAACTTCTGGTATGCTGTTAGCTTTCATTTTAGTCATCATGAGTAATCTCTTTACTTTTAACAGGGTGAGCCAGGGCCCCACGGGGAGCCTGGACCAAGAGGACCAAGAGGACCTTCTGGTCGGGATGTAAGTACACAAGTAAAGCATCGTCAGTTGTCATTGGATGGTGCAATCTGACTTTAGGTACTCTCCTTCTCTACAGGGAGATCCTGGCCCAGAGGGAGATCCTGGTCTCACTGTAAGAACATTTCCTTCATCCACAAACACACACAATCACACAGAAGATGTGACGTGTGTCTTTTTCCTCTTCTTCTTCAGGAATGTGATGTCATGAACTACATCAGAGAGACCTGTGGCTGCTGTGGTATGTTGAGTTATCTCCGTGACACTGTTTAAAACTCAGTTCTATCGCTGAGTCCCAAGTGCATTTTTATCTCCAGACTGTGAGAAACGCTGTGGAGCCCTGGACATCGTCTTCGTCATTGACAGCTCAGAGTCCGTGGGTCTCACCAACTTCACCCTGGAGAAGAACTTTGTCATCAACACCATTAACAGACTGGGATCCTTTGCCAAAGACCCCAAGTCAGAGACAGGTGCAACTGTCAAAGCGTAATTCCAAAAATGTCAAGATGAAACTTGTAAAGCAGTGCATTAACAGAGCTTTTTGCTTCCCCAGGCACAAGAGTGGGTGTTGTTCAGTACAGCCATAGTGGGACGTTTCAGGCAATCCGGCTCAATGACCCCAAGATCGACTCATTGACTTCATTCAAGGTTTCACAAACACAGAGTCAGATATAAACACAGATGTAAACAGCATTGATGTTTATTTTATGTGCTGCACAGATGTTTCTGTGCCACATGTTTCAAATCAAAGCTGAACAAGTATTTGTTCACATGAAGGAAGTTCACAGAAGGAAGTGATCACAAGGAACAAGAAGTCTCACTGAGCAAACTTTTGTCAATGCACCAAAGTTATTGTACAGGAGATGGCTGACCTACCTATACAGATTCGTCATTGCTGTTTAATATTTGCATAAACCCTCTATAAATTTAATTAATATCAAACTTGCAGCATTGCATGTTTTTAGACTACTTTCATCATCATTGTCTTGCTGCCAGAATCTTATGGATGCCATTCGTCAGTCATGACCTCACATCAATATTTTGTATTATTTAGCCCATTATAAGAGAAAAAAATGTGAGTTTGTTTGTTTTCACCATGTTATTCATACATTGAAAAATGTTAAAGTTCCCAACTAAATATTTAGTCAGCAAGCTAAATATTTTATTTAGAGTTAAATATTTGTTTCAAAAACTAAATATATATGTCAGATCTAAATATTCAGTTTGTTAAATAAATATTTAGTTTACCAACTAAACATTTGAGTAGGAGCTAAAAATTTAGTTTACAAACTAAATGAAAAGCATCAAATTAAATATTTATTTTGGGGCTAAACCTAAATATTGATTTTGCAAACTAAATGTTTAGGTCCAAAATAAACATTTAGCTGAGATCTAAATATTTATTTTGGAAAATAAATATTTAGTCAATTAAATATTTGATAAATTAAATGTTTAGGTCTGACCTAAATATTTTTTGTAAAATAAAAATTTAACTATAAATAAAATATTTAGCTTGCAAACTAAAAATTTAGTTTAACTAGTTAAGTTAGTTAGTTTAGGAACTTTAACATTTACAAATGTATGCATAACGTGGTGAAAACATGACTCTGAAAAATGAACTTCATTTCTTTCTCTTGTGACTTATCTAAATAACCCAAAATATGGCTGTTTAGTTATGACTGTGTGACTTTACAAATGGCACCCCCATAAAACATTAACTAGTTGCAAATAGTCATCATAAAGTTGACCTATGTTAGCAGGATCCATGAATCTGAAACTAAATTTTAGTGCACAGTCAAACATATTAAATTTCCACAGCGTACTTCACTTAATCACTGAGGAAAATTTAGAATGATCAAAAAATGTTTCTGTTGAAATGCTATTGGCTACTTTAACACATTGGCTAAAATTCTCTTCCGTCTCCTGTTCAGGAAGCTGTGAAGAGGTTAGAGTGGATCGCAGGAGGAACATGGACTCCATCGGCTCTAAAGTACGCGTATGACAACCTGATCAGGGACAGTCGCAGAGCCAACGCCAACGTCACTGTTGTTGTCATTACTGATGGACGTTTTGACCCAAGAGACGACGATACGCTCCTCACATACCTGTGCAAGTAAGTGTAGTGCAGTGTTTTTATTTGGTGCAAGAATATGAAGAGGTGAAAAAAATCTCCTCTCATTGCTTGTGTTTGTGTGTGTCGGTGCAAATATGAACAGCGCTCCTAATGTTGACGTGAGTGCCATCGGTATCGGAGACATGTTTGAGCAAATTGAGGAGAATGAGAGTTTGAAGAGCATCGCCTGCCAGAAGGACGATAGGGTGATGGGAATGAGACGATTTGCGGACCTCGTAGCTGAAGAGTTCATTGACAAGATTGAGACCGTGCTCTGCCCAGGTAAACTCACTCACAACGTGTTCAGTTAAAGGACAAGACGGGCTTAAGTTACTTAATTGTTATTCTCTCTCTCATCCTTAGAGCCTCTCATCGTATGTCCTGATCTGCCATGTAAATCAGGTAAGATTTTACATGATGTACTGATGACATTTCTAATATCTTAGTGTGTTTCTTTAATATTTAATCCCAGGTACCCAGCTTTAAAACAGTGCTTCTGAAGCTGGGTTGTAAGTAGGGATGGACAATATATCCGCATCAATATCAGTATCATCAGATGTTAGTAATTTTTTAACATATTGGTATTGTTCCGATATATAGAACTGAGCCAATAATAACAAGCAATATTTTTCCATTCTCGTTTCCATTTGTTTATCTGTTTCAGAGGGTGAGTGGGGTGATGTGTGTTTGTTTAGTCATGTGACAGTGATTGTAATCATCTCAGAATCATAAATGTGTGTTTTGTGTGTGCACATAACGTAAATTCAGCTTTAAAAATGTTCATTCTATACAAAATCTGCTTTTAGAAGCATTAACGTCAGTATATCGGTATCTGCAAATATCAGTAATCGACCATAACAGTGATCTAATATCGGATATAAGAATCGACCCAAAAATTTCATATCGGTGCATTAAGGCTTCTTAGAAGAAGACAGTTTCTGAGAGCTCCACTAAAGTAGACAACACCGCCGCACCACTACTGTTTTTTTAGTGTGTGCATTCATTTATGTTAGCACACCCCATTGTGGGATTTGACTTCCTTCACTGATTCGTGTAAAAAAACATCAAAGATGAGTTCAACAGGAGGCTCTTATTTGCAGCCATGTTGAATGATAGTGTGTCTCTAACAGCAGGCTTTTGTGTTACATTATGCTTCGAGCTTTTTAGTAGAGAAGATACAGATGATTTATAACATTGACTGCATTCCACTTCTGCGTGCAAGTTCTGTAAAAAAAATGCTTGCAAGCACAAGTTGTCCCCTAAAGGGAATGCTGCCCTGTTTAAAATGCCCATGCCTAACCTATGGGCCGGTTCCTAAAGCATCCTGGTGGATTTGAATGATCTCAGTCATTTAGATCAATTGCGGTCTTTTTAAAGCTACAGTGATCCCTCGTTTATTGCGGTAGATGCGTTCCAGACCTGGCCGCGATAGGTGAAAGTCCGCGAAGTAGGGACACCATATTTACAGTACAGTACTATATTGAACTTTTTATTAAAACACGGACAATGAAGTTCCAGGACTTGGTTAAATACAAAACAGCACAAATAATGTATAAAGTAAGAAATAAATTAATGCCTGATAAAATACAGAAACTGTTCACAGAGAGAGAAGGAGGATATAACCTGAGAGGGACACTAAACTTAAAGATACATAAGTTTAGAACAACATTAAAACAGATGTGTATCACAATAATAGGGGTTAAATTATGGAACAATTTAGAAGAAGAAATCAAAGTAAGTACAAATATAAATGTGTTTAAAATGAATTATAAAAAACATATTCTGAACAAGTATATAGTGGAAAATAGATGATTTATGTGGGTGTCCTTTATTCCAAGGAAAAGTAAATTGTATCAATTGTAAAAAGATGTTTTTTTTTTCTTTTTTTTGTTTTTTTTTCCATATAATTTGGTGGTTTTTTGGTGACTTGTACCATTTTGTTTGTTTTAATGTAGGTTTTGTGTTAGATTTAAGTAAACAAGTAAAAATTACTTGTATAAAGGGGTAGGGATATATAAGTTTCCACTTCAGCCTACTCCTTTTCAAACACAGATGGGATGATATGTATTTTTTCTGTTTGTGGTACTTTTTAAAAAATTATGTATGTTTTCTTTGTTTGAAATAAACTAAACTAAAAAAAAAAATTATCATATGATCACATTCTCTTTTTGTGGGTAAAACTCAAGAAAAAAATTTTTTTTACTTGGTTTTTTATAGTTTTATTACAAAAAGTGCATTTTATGATGAAATTGATGAGAAAAACCAGGAATTTCTTGATATTTCGCATAGAAAAATACCGCGAATCGGTGAAAAATACCACGAATCGGCGAATTTCCCTTGAATAAGGCTCCAAAGAAAAAATCTGCGAAGTCGTGAATCCGCGATAAACGAACCGCGAAGTAGCGAGGGATCACTGTGCATGTCCATCATTCTCATCTGAAGATTTTTTTGGGTTGATAGCTGAGCAGTTAAAATGTTTAGACCAGCTCGTGCCTCCAGCGTCATAATTGGCTGTGTTGATGCGTCTGTGGGACCACGCCCACATTGTTGTTCCACCCACTTGTTGCAGGAGGGGGCGTCTCTGTGGGGGAAGCCCCATCTCCCTGGAAGCCACTGGCTGAAGAAGGCAGTCCCTCATTGGTCCCCACCTCTTTGGAGGGTGTGGCCAGCCTGCTGAGCAGCCTGAGCGAGCAGCAGTATGGGGTTGGCATAGCAACCATGGCGTACACCGCCCAGAGAGCCAAACTCACCCAGGGAGCGGACAGGGAGCAGTGGACCGAGCTGTTCATCAACTCATTCAAATATGTCTACGGAGACATTATGGGAGACACTGATAAATCCCTTGGGCTGTGCTAGTGCTAACACGCTAACTACGCTACCTCGCCACTATGACCATAACTAACACGTTTGCTGGTGGATGCAGAACATATTTAGTTGAAACTATTACTCTGAAGGTGCAATACACATTTAGACCTATGCACACACATTGCATGATATAAAGTTCGTTGTGCCTTGTTACAAATTAAGAAGTCAGAATGTGAATCTCTCTCTCTGCTCACTGAACATTTCTGAACACATAGAACAGATGTTAATGATGCAGATTTTCTTCCATCTTAATGGAGGACAAGGATCTGTTAAAGTGGAAAATGGACTTTATTCATTCAGAGTTGAATGTAGATCATTCATGCTCTTCTTGTACGGTGGTGGTGATGAATCCTCATTTCCACTGTGAATCACTCAGATGTGCTTTGTTGTTGCTGCTGTTTGCACATATCCATGGTTACGGCCATTACTTATGCTCCTTATGAAAAACCACGTGTGTCTAAGGCTATTACACATGGAATACACATCAAAGTATTCTGTATATGAGTCAGAGGTTTGTGTATGTAAATGTTTGGTTGAGATTTAGAATTGAGGATTAAGGAAATATTGTACGTTACTCTCTTGGCTGGTGCATGAGTGTTTTCCAGCATGTGGCTTGGCTTGTAAAGGAATGTAAAGTTATATTACCAGCTCTGTGATTTTAACTACACAATGTGAACATAGTTTTTCTGTGTAAATGGAATCTTTCGAGTTTAAAGAGCAAATAGTAATAACAATAAACTGAATAACCATATTTAAAATGTGCCGTTTTGATGAAATATCTGGGGAAATGGACAGTAAATCAAAACAGCTTGACCGCTGTGAGCGTGTGTGGAGTTATGGCTTGTTATTGTATGTTTTTTCCTGCCGTTGACTTTTAAACATCTGCTCTCCAGCTGTTGCTTAGTCAATGCTACCAAGCCTGTATGTGTGTCTGTTTCAGAGCCGGCAGTGGCTAGTTGTGTCCAGAGGCCAGTAGAAGTGATCTTCATGTTGGATGGGTCTGAGAGGATGGGCCAGGAGAACTACAACAGGGCCAAAGAGTTCATTGAGAATGTGGCTCGCCGCCTCACCCTGGCCAACGGCCCGACCGACGAGAGGAACGCCCGCCTGGCGCTGCTGCAGTACGGCAGCGCATCAGAACAGACAGTGGGCTTCCCGCTCACACACGATCTCACGGTGATCTCAGATTCCCTGGGAAACATGACCTACATGGATTCCTTTTCCGCGCTGGGCAGTGCCATCATCTACGCCGTCAATAATCTGGTGATCAAGGAGGTACTGTACATTTAAATGTACTTATTAGAGCGTTTGACTGTGATGGAGCACGTTGGTAAAATTGTGTTTTCCTTTATTAAACTAAACATAAATTTGTTAAGAAATAATATTTGAATGCATGGACCTTCCATCATTCTCTATTACATACTTGCTTTGAATTAATAGTTCAGACCTTTTTAAGTGATATCGTGTAGAAATGTTACTGTCAATAAGCATCTTACCTGTTATACATAGCTCTTTGAACAGCTTCAGCCCAGATAAACAGAGATTAGCCCTGAAACACGTTAACAAGAAGTCACTGCCCCGTTGATCGACCTCCGTAGTGGTGAATATGTCACGTTGTTCGTTGTCCAAAGGCAGGAGGAGACAGTTTGAAAGACAACCGTAAATCCATCCCCACAACGGAAATCTGCCTCTGGGTCGTGGCCAGACTAAAGCCTGGTTTATGCTTTTCCGTCAGCTCCGTAAGGGACAGACACGCACGGATTGACGGAAGCGTTTTGCTCTCAAACTTCTCCGTCTCCTGGAGAGTGTTGCAAAGCAATTGCCCGGCAGGACAACAGAGGGCGTAGCGCTGTTCTGTGGTATCCTGTCGGTCCAAGATCGTGTGTTTATATTGTGTTTTTTGTGTATATAAGAGACTTTTAACACGGACATGTTTGTCTCTCATTCTCCCACCGCTTCATGCGCTCCCCACCTCTAAACCCACGTTTCCTGTCATTTCCATCCACAAATAAAACGCTTGCTGTGCATCTTTTCACTCCTCCAGTCACGGGAGGATGAAACGTTCATATTTTTAGAGTTTTTTCGCGAGGTGTTCGTCAAGCTTCTCCGTGTCTGCCGCTAGTTATCCTCGGCTCTCTTTGCAGTGGCGGCGCTGTAAACAACAGCGGCGTCCTGACCAATCACAAGCTTGCGTAATCCGTTTCGTTCGACGGATGTTTAAAAAAGTGGGCTCGATTCCGTACGTACTTGCGTGTCTGCCGGAGCCCTACGCAAGGACGGATAATAGCGTTGCGTGTCTCCGCACTCACGCAGACGGAGAAGCATAAATCAGGCTTTACTAGTCACATAAATGGAATGGCTTGCCAGGCTGAAGCACCATTTAATGTGACATTTTTGGTGCTCTAGGTTTATAGAATTATGTTCCTTGAACTGGAGCTGTGAAAATGAAAGTCACTTTAAGTTGGCAGAAAAACATTGCTACTATCCCCAATCAGACTAGCTGTTAGCCTATCAGTCCTTTCAGAACCAAACCCAGTTTCTCTAATTTGAGGCAGTTTAAAGAGCAAGTCACCCCCTACCGGAGTATTACTCCACTCCCACTTCCTGTTTGAAAAATGCAACAAATGCTGTTGCCTAGCAGACCGAGAGGGCGGAGCCGCTAACAAATACACACACACACAGTCTCTCAATGACACTGTGACATCATAATGTACCAGCTAACTTTCTAGGGTACCTCTTAGCCAATAGCGAGAGAGGGTGCTCGCTGCAGAACCACAAAGGCGGAGCTGCACCATAAGGTGGAGCTGCACCAGAGTCAGCCCCGCCCATTCACGCAAACTCAGCTTACCCACTGACTTCCGTTTTTGTTTTCAACTTTATCGCAAACTGACCTGACCCACATGAATTACGGCTGTTACTAGTTTACAGTCGTTAATGCTATGTTCTATGCTCCAGTTAAACAAGATAAATATAACTTGCTACATGACAAAGACTGAATATATCTCGAAATGAAAAGGTTTCTTTTAGCGAATATCTGCCCACAGCCGGTCTAACAAAAGTGGTGTATAACAGTATGTCAGATTTTTGGATGGGCTTATGTAGTCCAGTGGCGAGATCGCATGGGTTAAATTTTGCTTTCCCCTCAGCTGATGCTGGTTCGATTCTCGGTGGGGTCGTCAGCAATCTATTTAGCCAGCTGAAACATTTAATTTGTTTATATTTTAGTTGTAATGTTTATTTTCAGCAAAATATTTGTCTCTAAAAGTTCTTTGAATTTGGTCGTTCTTAAACAGCATTTTAGTTGAAACTCTGCTCACAAATGGACTCACACTGGCTAAATAAACGAATAAATAAATAAAAAACACATTAGTCATTATATGTTAAACGGTATACCAGTAAATTGTTTTAAACGTAGTACTGGCAAGTGTAGCTAGAAATGAAGAAAAGAGGTTGCACACTACCTAAAACATACACTAATGGGAGGCGAACCTGCGCAGAACTGATTGTCAACACAATTCCTTAACCACTACACCACCACATCTGTTGTAACTCATTCCGCGTTACATCTAATTGTGCTGCCCAGTGTGTCTCTGAGATGGGTTGTATGTTTTGGCGGTGTCTCAGTAGAAGTCATTTCAGAAATAATTTGTCAGAAAATTCACAGAATATCCAGATTTGAGAATCAAGACCAGACCCGCTTCGGGGAGGAGACCAAATTGAAGCTGAGATGGGAGGAAAATGCATGAATGAGGCTAAAAATGGCTTTGGCGTGTTTCTTATGAGGAAATGACAATATAACATGATTAAAAGTTCCAAAAGTTAGATTTTTAATTATATGGAACTTTTACAAAATTTGTTCAATTAACTTCTCAACTCCGTCCTCAATCTTGCATTTTTTAGCTATAACACCCTCTTTGGTTCCAGAATGCTATCAAGTCTGACAACTGCAAGGAATTAGACTGACTCTGATGGAATGGGCGGGGCTGATTCTGGAATGGGCGGGGCTGACTCTGGTGCAGCTCCACCTTCTGGTGCAGCTCCGCCTTTGTGGTTCTGCAGCGAGCACCACTTGAATAGCGATGGAAGATTTAAATTCAAATGCAGTGCAGAGTTTTTACCTGACATCGACACAACACTGACAGTGTTAGGCAGAAAAGTAACATTTTAACTAAAATGCACTAAAGTGCAAAACTATTGACTACACGTGTCTGCAGCACGATTAGACACACATTTATATAGTTTATCAGAAAAAAACGTTGATTTGGGGGTGACTTGCTCTTTAAAGATCCATCAGTGTAAGGTGAGGTATTAACTGATCAGGAACCTTTAACAGAAACAAACTTCCAAAGACCTGAACTATCCTTTGTTAAACAAAAATCTAAATATTTTCTTCTCAAAAAAAGGTGTTGTATCAAATGAGGAAAACACATTTGTGGTTCACGTTTCTTTTCAGAATTTCCTCCATTGCTAACTCACATCTTTAATAATGTGACCACAGAATCGACGTTTGGCCCGACGCAACGCTGAGGTTTCCTTCGTGTTCATCACCGACGGAATCACATCCGACAACCAGCTGGATGAGGGCGTGAGCGCCATGAAGAGGGCGGAAGGTGTTCCCACGGTGATCGCATTAGGAGGCGACACTGATGAAGAGGTGCTACGCAAGGTCTCGCTAGGGGATTCGTCGGCCATCTTCAGAGGAGATGGCTTTGCTGTGCTGAACAAACCTGCTTTCTTTGAGCGTTTCATCCGCTGGATTTGCTAGTGAGGAACTGTGCTCTACACTAAATGAGTTGTTGAATGATGGAAGGACCAGCTCCTTTGGTGTCCACACACACACACACACACACACACACACACACACACACACACACACACACAAAGTCATTCTTGTCCCAGACAAACAAATGTTTGCTAATGTTTGATTTCATTTTTCTGTTCCGTCTAATAGAATTTATTTTGTACGACATTGAAAATGCAGGAAAACTTTATCACTCCGTCTTTCTTGTTTTTTGTGAACACACACACAAAGTCTGCCCAGAGTCCCTATTATTGGTGCTAGAAATCTATCTGTGGGATTTAAAAAATGTGTCTCTACATCTTGTTATGCTGTTATTAATGTAGGTCGTTCATGTATTAGAGTATCTTAGACAGGTCTTCTCAGGACATCACAGACAAATCCCCCACGCTCTGCCACAGAGGAACCCACAGCGGTCCAAAACTTAACCTTTATTATTCACAAACAACAAGGAATCTAATCTGTAACCGTGAGTTCAAATAAAGGCTAAAGTGTGACCCAACAAAGAGTTTTGTCTTTGAAATTCATTCATTGTGTCTGATTTATTTTGGAAGAATTAAGTGGAATTCAAGCTAACAGAACATTTTTATATAGAGATTTGATCATTTTTGCTTTATTTGTAAAATCCATTGAACTCTATTAAAAAACAATTGCTATTTTTTATGGAAATTGACAACAAATTTTGCATTAAAACAGAAAATTCTGAAATTAATATCAGTTCAATTCAATTCAGCACCAAATCACGACAAGAGTCGTCTCAAGGCATTTCACATAGTAAACATTCCAATAGAGTTCAGTTCATTAAGCCAATCAGTAAAAGGTTTCCTATAAGGAACCCAGAAAATTGCATCGAGTCACTGACTAGTGTCAGTAGTTTATTGTAACTAAAAATCTGGTCAACTGACCAATTTGAGTCAAACTTAACGGCAGTTTTGGATTGCTTTTAGCTCCCCCTAGTGCCCGTTTGTAGAACTGAAAGCAAAACCCCAGCTCCTTGCTGTGCGTTTGTCATTTTAACACTTTAACAGCTGAAGTTTCTCCCCAACCTTCCTTGTTGTCTACAGGAGAGATTCATGACTAAATTAAACAAAATCTGAAGTAGCCAGTGGAATATTCTGGCCACAGGGGGGCGATAGGGGCTGGGTGGCCTTTAATTAACCCTGTAAAGGGTCAATTTAGCACATACTGGCTCAAGAAAATGATTTAAAAATATGAAAAATTGCTAACTATCCCTTTCACCAATTAAATTTATTATAACTCACCTGATCACTTTTAGTTTAAACAGCAAAAACTGTTTTTGGATTTTTTTTATTTATATATATATTTTTTGGGAGAGTTATACAGTTATCCGAAGTAATAATAGGGTAAAAGCAATGAAAAGTATTTGGCATTTTGCGCTAACATACTATTTTTCTTTGGTGTTTTCTGTTTTCATTTATTCGTTAGGTGAATTAACCTATTCAAGTTGTTTTTCTCAATCACTTTTATGCATTTTTCACATCACTATTGATGTTTGCACAACAGCAATTATTACAAACTAAATATCTAGTTGGAAAAACTACAAAAACGTCTCACCAGTTCAAAATATGTAGTTCGTTCCTCAAAAGCAAGTATTCGTGTCAATGAAAGAGCCTGTGTCGTCAAAATGAAAAGTCCTGTGTTTATGTCATCATGACAGTTCACTACTGAAGTATTCTTGTCAGGTCTAGGTGACACTAGGAACACAGCACTAGACGCTGTCTAAACATTTACAGTTTTTCTCAGTTGCTTTGGTGCATTTCTCACAACAGAATTAAACGTTGCACAAGTTTGTTCAACCTCCACAACATGTAGTCGTTTTGGCACAACCTAGTGGCGGTTTCATGTTCATTTCGTCCAAAGGCATATGTGTTTGGACATGAAGCAGTTGAGTAAGTACAAATGTCTAAAGAATGGTCACTTTTGACTTGCTATTCATCATGTATGACATCATTAACTATACTTGCACCGGCTGAATAGTCATTGTCCTTACAACTAATTGTCTTCATTTCATTGCTTGTGTCATTGCACTCAAAACTGTTGAACATCTTGTCAAACAATTTGTACACCCATTTTGAAAACCGTATGTTTAAGGAGTTTCCATGGAAATCTCCATAAATTACTTTTCTCAGGTGAACCTTATCTCACACTAATGAAAATTGGTGTGTGTCCTGGTGACAATCGGACAATGTGTGTAGTGGTTTGGGATAATGTTAGCGTCCATCACTCTGCTGTAGTCAGGCAGTGGTTTGCAGCACACGGCAGGACGCTTATGGAGTTTCTTCCTCCTTACACTCCATTCCTAAATCCAGTTGAGGAGTTTTTCTCTTCCTGGAGGTGGAAGGTATATGACAGGCATCCACATACCCACATGGCCCTGCTAGCAGCTATGGATGCAGCTTGTGATGACATCACAGCAGAGTCCTGCAGAGGGTGGATTCAACACTCAGGGAGATACTTTCCCCGATGCATCGATAGAGCTGACATTCGCTGTGATGTTGATGAAAATATGTGGGCAGACACACAGGAGCGTCTAGATATCAATGATTGATATGCAGTAGTGTCTGTTCAGTTTTTTTTTTTTTGTTTTGTTTCATAACTACTGCAGTAAGGTTTACTGTCTAAGTGAGTTTATGTTTGCTGTAAAATGTTTGTTTTACTGTATTCCCCCAGTTGCACAATGCTGTGAACAGTTTCAGTTAAATATTATCAAGAGTGCATATGAAGTGTCCTGATTTTCCTTTACAGTTTATGGTTTTCAACATGCCATGCATGCTGTCCAGACTTGACATGTCATTGGGAAGCACCTACAAAGAAATCTGTCACAATGGGAACATGTTCAAACCATTTGATTTTGTGGCCAAAGGTGCTGGTGTAATGACTTGTAATTTTGACAGCCCTGACACGCTGATTGATATAAGTACTTGCTTTTGATGAATATATTATCTGTTTTGATTAAGGGACTTGCTTTTGAAGCACTGACTTTTCTTTTTGATGAAGTGACTCACTTTTGCAAGTTATCCACCATGTTTTGCAGTTTGCACTAATTGTTTTGAAAAAAGCCTTAATAGTGGTGCAGAGATCAATTCTGTTGTGAGAAATGCACCAAAGCAACTGAGAAAAACTGTAATACAGAAAAAAAGATACTGACTGGTGGAGCTAATAACGTCTCAAAATGTGACGTTTAGGCTGAAATTATCTGAGTTGAGAGAAGAAATTTAGACCTATAAATTAGACAGATAGATAGATAGATAGATAGATAGATAGATAGATAGATAGATAGATAGATAGATAGATAGATAGATAGATAGATAGATAGATAGATAGATAGACAGACAGACAGACAGACAGACAGACAGACAGACAGACAGACAGACAGACAGACAGACAGACAGACAGACGATAGATAGATAGATAGATAGATAGATAGATAGATAGATAGATAGATAGATAGATAGATAGATAGATAGATAGATAGATAGATAGATAGATAGATAGATAGATAGATAGATAGATAGATAGATAGATAGATAGATAGATAGATAGATAGATAGATAGATAGATAGATAGATAGATAGATAGATAGACAGACAGACAGACAGACAGACAGACAGACAGACAGACAGACGATAGATAGAACGATAGATAGATAGATAGATAGATAGATAGATAGATAGATAGATAGATAGATAGATAGATAGATAGATAGATAGATAGATAGATAGATAGATAGATAGATGATAGATGATAGATAGATAGATAGATAGATAGATAGATAGATAGATAGATAGATAGATAGATAGATAGATAGATAGATAGATAGATAGATAGATAGATAGATAGATAGATAGATAGATAGATAGATAGATAGATAGATAGATGATAGATGATAGATAGATAGATAGATAGATAGATAGATAGATAGATAGATAGATAGATAGATAGATAGATAGATAGATAGATAGATAGATAGATAGATAGATAGATAGATAGATAGATAGATAGATAGATAGATAGATAGATAGATAGATAGACAGACAGACAGACAGACAGACAGACAGACAGACAGACAGACAGACAGACAGACAGACGATAGATAGATAGATAGATAGATAGATAGATAGATAGATAGATAGATAGATAGATAGATAGATAGATAGATAGATAGATAGATAGATAGATAGATAGATAGATAGATAGATAGATAGATAGATAGATAGATAGATAGATAGATAGATAGATAGATAGATAGATAGATAGATAGATAGATAGATAGATAGATAGATAGATAGATAGATAGATAGATAGATAGAACAACTCACTTGGACTTTGTTCAGACAAACTGCTCAACTCTGTAGTTATGACCTTTTGACCAGTTTGAGATTATCGGCCACTTGGGGGCAGTAACGAGCAGACCTTTCACCTATGCCTTTCACAGATGACCAAATGAGTGAACTAAATTCATAAAGCGCGAAGAAAGTTATTTAAAAAAATCTAGTTGGCTTTTATTTTAAACAACCATGTGTTTATAGATTTCTTTAAAAAAATTGCAGACGTTTATAGAACACGGTGAACCGAGATTATGCGATTTCTGCTCAGGACGTTTGACCCTCTAAAGACGCCGTACTTGTTCCAACGCAGCAGACTTTGGTTTGAAAGAGTTGTTATCGCTCCTGAAAGGTAAATACATGTTGGGCTTTTTATGGGGCTGGTTAGGGTTAGGGTTAGGTTAGGGTTGTTATTAGTTGTTGACATTAGTAGTTGTCAGTATGCTTAACTGCATGTTGTTATTTGTCCTGTAGAACTTTCGGTAACAGAACCGTAAACCGATAACTCCAGAGTTCAAAGTCCGCCAGGACACAACCAGCCAGCTGTACAAATGAATATGTATCTTACAACAAATGTCCCACTTCATGAAGATAAATGTAATTACACGTGTGTGTGTGTGTGTGTGTGTGTGTGTGTGTGTGTGTGTGTGTGTGTGTGTGTGTGTGTGTGTGTGTGTGTGTGTGTGTGTGTTGCTTCAGAGCTGTCAGTATGGAGGGCCAGCCCCTGTCAGCCCTGTCCTCCCCTGCTCTGGTGGTGGACGTTGACAAGGTGAAGACAAACGCCCAGAGGATGATCGAACGCTGTCAGGCACTGGGAGTCCAGCTTCGGCCACACATGAAGACCCATAAGACCCTGTATACACACAGACACATGCGTACACACAGACACACAGGCAGGCAGATTGATGTGTGTGTGTGTGTGTGTGTCTGTGTGTGTGTGTGTGTGTGTGTGTTGGACTTTAGTGAGTGTGCTGACTTGATGACGGCTGGATCACGAAGGTGCATCGTGGTTTCCACCCTGGCAGAGGCCTGTTTCTATGCTGATCATGGATTTGATGACATCATCTATGCATACTCTCTACCCTTTGACAAGGTTTGTATCAGAACTGCACTTCTGTGGTCAATTGGGGGATCCATCGTCGCAGAACCATTTAAATTCAGTCTGGTTACAGCACAGGTGTCACTCCGGGCCTCGGGGGCCGCTATCCCACATGTTTTTGTGTTTTTTCTGTTTCAACGCACCTTAACAGGTTTCTGGAGAGCTTGATGAGCTGCTGCAATGGTGATTCAACTGTTGGAACAGGGAAAAAACAAAAAACGCAGGATACCGGCCTTCGAGGACTGGAGTTTGACACCCCTGCATTAGAGGGCTTTCCAGCATGAAGGGCCAGTTTAAGGTCAAAGGTCAGACATTTTCCTACAGGATCTTCTGCTAGAGAGCAATATTACAGTCACAGTAGGTGATCCAGGTCCTGAACCAGCAGAGCCACCCCAGACCATCACACTTCCACCACCATGTCTCACTATTGACATGATGTTCTAGTGTTAGTTTTACACCAAATGGATCACGACACACACCTTCTATAAAGTTCTACTTTAGTCTCGTGAAGCTAATGAATATTTTCTCAAAAGATGTTTATGGTAAATGTGAGACAGGCCTTTGTGATGTGTGGTGGGAAAAAAATCTACCAAGAGTATGATAAAAAGATTTAACAAGAATTGATTTAAAAGAAAAAGCAAATGAATGCAAGATGAGAACAAAGAAGTTGTTGAGTCACATTCTGTCTGAAAAGCATCTCGACAAGAGACAGCAGAGATAAAACCGACTCTGCACTTTTGAGCCGAGTCAGACTGGAAGCTTCAACAATGACTTCAGTGATGTGTTGTTTTCCACTCTGTCAGCAAAATGTCCAAACTTTATTTGTAACTATTTAGTCAATGAAACTGGTCGCTGAGTAACTTTTACCATTTCAGAGCTCTCCAGAGGTTTTGCAACTCTCCCATGGATGACCATCTCCTTCTTTTGGTTCATAATGACCTCTGACCTTAAAAATAACCAAGTGAGCTCTGCAGAAGCTCTGGATTCTTTAGTTATTGAATCTGTTTAGAATGGGACAGGATGTGTTGCTTTTTGAGATCTTTTAGCCTTCCTTGTTGTTGTCAGAAAGGTTCTACCTAGTGATTTGGTAACTCTACAGGCCTGGCTGTATGCCTGAACTCCGCTTCTTTTAGTTTAATCACAGTAAAGTCACGATTTGACAAGGTGGGCGTTTACTTTCTCACATATTACCAGGTTTGTTTGGATAGGCAGTGTTTCCCCTACATAGGCTAAGCCAACGTCACCTCCCCACACACACACACACACCCTTACAGACAATGCAAGGAAGCACCCTACCCCGACGTCAACTAGCACCACAGCTGGGGAAATCTATAGGGAAAACACTGATATTGAAATTTTAATTTGAAAGAAAAAAATAACACGTTTTTAATTAACTCGGATTATCTTTTGTGTTACAATGTTCTGATTTGAAACTTTTAAGTGTGACCGAAGAAATATTTAATGGGGAAAATGTTTTTAACAAAAATCTATTAAAAAACACGTTAAAGATTGTTGTGAGTTAAAGAGAAACAACCGAACTTGTTGTCTTTCAAGAAACACCGATAATGAGTTTCAAAGCCCGTCCAAGTACTAATGACTACTCGTGTGTGTGTGTGTGCGTGCGTGTGTGCGTGTGCGTGTGTGTGTGTAATTAGATAGAGCGATGTGCAGCCCTGTCAGAGAAACTGGATCTCTTCCAAGTGCTGTTGGACCATCATGACGCTCTGCAGCAACTCAAAAGGAGGCCCTTGAAAGATGGTCAGCTGTGGCACGTCTGGCTGAAACTGGATTGTGGCAATGGGAGAGGTAAACATGCAGGAACCTCAGCTGACCACCAGCTTTACAGGGTTCCCATGCATCCTGGAAAACCTGGAAAATTGTAGACCAATTTTCCAGTCATGGAAAACACATGGAAAATGCGAAAAAAAGGAAAATGTCCTGGGAATGTTTGAGTTGTCCTGGAAAATTATTTTCCCCTCCTTGTGAAAAAATACAAACGGGTGAATATTTTACTCATGAATTTCTGTTTTCAGCTGCATTCAGTGGGCTGTTGCCATGGACGTAACTTTTGGGGGGGACGGGGGGACATGTACCCCCCCCACACACACACACACACACAATAATAATACATTTTATTTAAAAGCGCCTTTCAGAACACCCAAGGTCACTTGACAGAAAACACACACACACACACTTTTTTTCAAAGTCAAGTTTTGACCCCTGCACCTTTTACCATCCAAAAACAATATTACGCTATATTACAATGACACTGGTTGAGGTCTAGGACCAAGCGGAAAACAACCGTTTATGTTGAAGCCTGTTTCCCATTAAAGCATACTGTAAAAATACACCCCCCCCCCCCCCCCCCGTGTCCCCCCCACTTCTAAAGTGAAAATTACGTCCATGGCTGTAGCGCTTGTCTGCTTTCATTCCTGCATAGGGAGCCTAAGTCTACTACCGGACAACGGGTCCCCGGAAGAACGGAAAAATGAGTGCTAGTTAACGGGGCTAAAAACGCAATTTTCTAATTCCGCTTGTTATGTGCCACGGATTTCACATATGATGTCTGTGAATTTTAGAGACACATTTTAATACCAAGAACGTGCTTATTTTCGAACAAGGGGAAACAAAAGTTTAGATTTTGTGTGAAAATGAGTCCAGGACTACAAATGGGCTTCACGAAAGTGACGTAATCGAACCAGACACGGAGAAAACTGAGGGAAAATGGCTGTAAGTTCAGCAAGCTTCCCACAGGAGGAAAGAACCTCCATAAATCTGGTCATGTGGTAAGTAGCAGCTACTTTGGGGAGCGGAGATTATGTGGTGACGTCACATATGCGACGTGCCGATTTCTAGTTTGTAGTCATGCTAATTATGAAATTTTACAAGCTGATGAATGTCAAAGTACATGACTGGCGTGGTCGAAACACCCATCATTACTTTTCATTTAAATAGAAGTATTACATATGTGTGATCCAGGGAGTAAGGCAAAGTGGGTTAGAAAATAACACTTTTAACCCCGTTGACTTGCATTCATTTTCTTCGTTCTTCTAGCGACCCGTGAGCTGACCGGATAGGGAGGAGACTTAGGCTTCCCATAGAGAAAGACAACAATCTTTGCACAACCATAAAATCGATATAGTGGTATAGGTACAGTATCATGTCTGTTTCAAAATACATCCTGATATGAAAATATCACCCAGCCCTAGTTGTAATAACTTGACCCGTGCTGCAGCAGCTGAAAATGTCCTGGAAAAGTCCTGGAAAATCATACCAAAAAAAGAGTGGGAACCCTGTTCAAGCACTTGCTGATTGTGTGTTTGCTCTATCTCTAGCTGGTGTCCTGCACTCAGAGCCTGAGGCACTCAGCCTGGCCCGGGCCATCGCTGGGACAGAGGGCGTGGAGCTAACGGGGATATACGCTCACTGTGGAAACACCTACAGCTGCACAGGAGTGGAGCAAATACAGGCCGTTGCCCAAGACACAACCAGCTGTGTCCTGCAATTCATGGAGAAGTGAGGGTTTAAATTAAGATGGAAACGCACAAAAGATAGATTAAAAAAATGGTAAATTAATTCAAACAACAAATGCATTCATATTTCAGTATGTGTGTTGTTTGTGTCTTTTCTTAATTCTGTCAGACTGAAGGCGGTCGGCATCACCTGTAAGTCCAGCATTGGCTCCACTCCTTCTTGTAGCCATCCGGTCCAAGACATGTCAAAACTAAGTGAGGTGCATCCTGGAAACTACATCTTCTATGGTGTGTTCATCTCAATGTGACTGTTTCATTTTAACTATTTCAAATGAACAAACTGAAAAAACAAAATTTGTTTTATGTTTTGTTGAAATGTAGATGTGCAGCAGTCCATGATTGGCTCGTGTAGTCTGGAGGATGTGGCTGTGAGGGTTCTGACAAGAGTCATTGGACACTGTCCACAGAAGGACCAGCTCCTGATCGACTGTGGGTGGAGTGCTATTAGGTAGGATTTACAGAAGGACACATGGCTGGACTGGTTTTAGATGAACTCGACCGACTTCTTTGTTTTCTTTTTCCTTCAGTTTGGATGGAGCTGGAAAACTTCCCACTGGATATGCCATCATTGAAGGGCATCCAGACCTGAAGTAAAACGCTTTTTCTATTTCTTTTTTTTTTACTTGAAAACAGAATTTAAAGGAGCAATTTGTAAGAATTCTACAGTGAAATAATCACAGACTAATGTCTCAGTCATGTTGGAAGGGAGGTTAAATGAAAACAGATTTCATTCTCAGCTGGTTGGGTGTTGTCAGTTTGTCTATTTTCAAAAAACAAAGGAGGGACATCGTTTCGGACATCAGCTACAGTCTGTGGCGAGCTAACGGTGCAGCGCCGCCAGCATTTCTAATTCAACACTGGCAAGCTCCAGAGTTGTTTAAAGAACCAGTGCCAGTAAACAGGAGTGACCCAGAAGTTATTTCTTGTAACCCTAAGAAGCCACAACATCTTTTTGTTTTACTTGAGTGAATCAGGCTAGAGGCTAACGCTGAGCTAACAGTTATAATGGTGAATTAGGAGCAAGTACTCGGCTCTAAAAATATCTTAAGCTACTTTCTCAATTAGCAACATCTCAGTATTAAAGTGAAATGTGTGTGTGACATGAATAATGAGTCAATCGCAGCATTTTACTTCCTTTAATGAGTCGTTCAGAACTATTAGAGCAAGCTAACAGCAAGACGGCAAACAAACACACTTCCTGTAATGCCTGATGCATTACCGTAATAAGTGTAGTAAATGCTCTCTACCGTAAAATATCCAAGTGTGCGAACACCAGATGTTAGGGCTGGGCAATAAATTGAAAATTTATCGTTATCGACATTTCTGACTCTTATCGGGATAAATTGTTCCCGTGTCAATAAATTTGATAATAAAAAATGAAAAGATGTGTGTAGATGGGCAACATTCATGTCCCTTTAAGAAGCTGTACCACCTTGAGTCACGTAAAAATGTGATTCAACGTAATACACGCGACAGCCCCATCTAGTGGACAATTTTCATTTCTGCTAATACCTGTAGTTATCGTCCACTTATCGTTATCGAGGTGAAATCCTCAATATATCGTGATATTGATTTTAGACCATATCGCCCAGCCCTACCAGATATAATTATGTATTTATCTACTTATCAACTTTGCTTATCATCTAGAATCTTCTGGTGCTGATCTGTAACTGGCAAGAGCCATAAAACTCAGAACAACAGTGAGACAGTAACTTTTTGTTTAGCAAAGTGAGCTGCAGTCACCATATTTGACCACAAGATGTCATTTTTACTTCGTTCTTGCATGTTGTTTATGTTGCACATGGTTATGTATCCCTCCAGGTTGTCATCAATGACTCAGGAACATGGAAGACTGGAGCCCATCTCGGGTCATCTGGACTACAGCAAATACCCTCTTGGTACTTTGCTCTCGTTGATCCCCCACCACGTTAGTATTGTTTAATGTGACCTTTAGCAACCTGTCTGTAGGATTAAAAGAGGCTCGGTTAGAAGATTATATTCTGTTATCCAAGAAGCCGTCAGTGACGGGAGTTCCTCTGAAGGTTCTCATACTGGACATTCCTTCATGTGGTGTCGGATTCATTGTGTTGCTATTGTGTTTTAAAGTTTATTTTTATTTTATTTCAGTCCTGTGCGACAGCCATGATGCATCCCGTGTATCATGTACACTCCAAGGGTCATCTGCTGGGGACGTGGAACCCCACCCGTGGGTGGTGAAGCCTAAGTTTTGACCTGGATGTTGTTAGATGAAGATACTTGTCCACCTAAAACAGCATATTTGTGGTTGATTAGACTGGTGTCTGGAAAAAAAACATATCAGAGCCTGTTTTTATGAGACTTTAACCATTTTCTGAATCGATGTGTTGTAAAATTGGCCATGTTTGTTTTTACGTAATGTTATCTCTGTAAATCAACGCAAATTTAAAACATTTGTTTTTGTCCATTGTGTAGATAAATACATTTCAGTGAGACGAGTTGTTTACTGATTGTTTTATTAATATCATGATCATTCTTTCTGTCGCCGTTTAAATGGTAGAATTCTAGCCTTGAACACATACAAAGGTTATATTTTAATGGAACATTTCTCACGTTTGATTTTGTCCCCTTGACCCTCTTGTATTATCTCAAAGGTGATGGCTCAAGGGTGGGGAATTTGCTCTCCCATGCGTGTGTTGCTGGTTCAAACCAGTGACTTAGAAATAATGGAAAATAACGGCTTGACACCATCTATCAGGATTTGATCAGCAGTCTCCTCTCCTATTTAGGGACAATCGAAGAGACATAAAAATGTGTAACATTGAGCTGCTGTGTCGCCCTGACCCTAAACCCTACTGTTATTTAATGCTGATGTTGTTTCAGTGATAACGTAGTTTGTTTTTAAAGCTCAGTCATTTCAGTTTTTATTTTAAAACAATATAATAGGAATTATCAACCAGAACAAACCCAAACTTATGAGCGAGCGTATTTCCCTGCCTCGCCCCATGAGATCTCCGAGGAAGACATAAAAAGGAATAACATCCAGAAGATTAAAGGAGGAATTTAGATCCACATAAAGGAGATTTTATACATGGTGGATTGTATTCATACAGAATTGAAGATGTTCTTGTCAAAAAAGTGCAGATATTGTCTTGTGTAAAACTGTATCAACTAAATTTTTGTAGTGAAAGGTGAAAAAATAAACTGTTTCAACGAGCAAAAGTGAATCCAAAGTGTTAAATAGTTTTCTAAATCTGGATTCTCACGAACAAATTTGTCAGTATAAATATAGACGCAACACTTTTGTTTTTGCTCCCATTTTTCATGAGCTGAACTGAAACCTCTGAAACTTTTTCTACATGCGGTGGGATGGATCATCTTGGTAGAGGGAAAGTGCTCACTAACACACACACGTAGACAGATTTCAGAATAATATTTGAGGCCGCTAGAACGAAAAGACTTAACTAATAGCAAGACATCTAAATCCCCTTTCTTTAGTGAATCTTTAACCGGATTGTGGAGTTGAATGAATACTAAATAAACAATAATCACAGCATCAAACGTGACACACACTGATTCTCAAGACTACTTGAAATTGAAACTGAATGAAAAAAATAAACATGGCAATAAAATGCCCTTTACAGATTACCAAGAAATGTGATTCTTATTGAAAATGACCACAAACTGAATGTAACTTGAAATATGGACATTAACTAATGTCAGATCAGATATCAACCTGAATCATTAAAGTATTTTAATCAGTATCCAGTCAATCCTTGTATTTAGGATTTGGTTTAATCCTAATTTATTATTTTTATAATTCATATATTATTTTTAAACATATTTGTAATCATTTTTTAAATCTTTTTATACTTGAATTTTTTGGTTTTGTGAAGCGCCTCGTGATTTTTAACTTGAGAGAAAAGATCGTTTTCTTTCTTTCTTTTCTTTACAACGTTAAACTTTATTTTCACAGTTCTATTTTCATTATTTTCACTACTTCTTCTTTTCTGTGCTTAAGCGTGTCATATTGTGTCCATTACATTTGATCTTACCTGTACAAAGTTTTTTCTACTGCTGTGAATTAGAGTGAGAATACCTGACTTGAATATTATTTGTCTGTGGACTTGTGACAGGCGGACTTGTTGAAAGGATTCTTGGGAAACGTAGTTTTACTGCTACTAGCGTTTTGATTGGCCACTTTATGACCTTTCCACTCAGTCACGTGATTTAAAATGTTCAGAATGGCGCGGAAATTTGTCACATCGCTTCTCAATTAAACTTTCCGACTTTAAAGTTTTGTTTATGTTTTAAATTTTATATTGTTTTGCGGACTTTTTCCGCCCGTTTGAGTAAGTCTCGACCTTTTGCGCTCACTTTCCTCAGCTTTAGCGCGAGAGTTCAAACCGACTCTAGTAGCAGGGCTAATTGTGTGTTTTGCTGCGTGGCTTCAGGCTTGTATCGTGTGTTTTGTGTTTATTGGTAGAAATGAGCGTGTTGGAGGTGAAGTTCGTTGGGGATGGGGATGTTTTGGAGCACATCGTGGACAAACAGGAGGGTATGAGCTGGTTTATCTCTGCTGTTTTGTTTTTTGCCCATTCGCTCTCGTTTTATGTGTGTGTGTGTGTGTGTGTGTGTGTGTGTGTGTGTGTGTGTGTGTGTGTGTGTGTGTGTGTGTGTGTGTGTGTGTGTGTGTGTGTGTTGTGACTAGTATTGCAGAGCAGTGCTGGCTCTGGGCTGAGGATGGTGAAGTTTAAGAGCCCGGCTGGACAGAGGGAATGCCTGGAGGAGACTCGGTGTGATGGAGATGAAAACGGAGTCCATGATGAGCTGGGTTATGTCCGAGCTTTAGGAACTGAAAACGATGAAGGTATCCCTTCCTTGGTTCTGGTTTTGTCCTGCTGCATTTTCACCCTCATCCTCCACTCTTCCATCCATAAATCTGCTCTTTGGCTTTCCTCCACGACTCCTGCCTGGCTGTTCCAGCCTGAGCATCCTTCTGCAGATTCCTCCATGTCCAAACCATCTTAGCCTGATCTTATTTCAAATCATCTAACGCAGTCCCTCTAATCCTGATCCTGTCACTCCTGAAGACAATCGCAACATTTTCACCTGCCCTGCCTCCTGTCTTCTCGGTGCCACTGTAGATCATCGAGTTTAGTATTTTGACATTACCTAATAAAGCCATAACATGAACCTAAATGTCTCTTAATGCCACTAATATGTTCTTTGGCTTCACAGAAGTAGACGATAATCCTTCTAGAGTTGCTGGTTCCTCCATCTTCACCTTCCAGAAAGTCAAACGAAGTCACAGCTTGGCCCAAACTGGTGAATCTCCAATTACCTCTCGAACGAAGGCTCAACGTTCATCTTCAGCTGCATTTATTAAACCGTTGTTTTGTTGTTTCCCTTCGTAGCGAGCGAACTGGCTCGGACCCCGGGAAAAAGCGTGAGCTTCACCAGGGACACAAACTCGGAACCCACCACTCCCTCTCGGACAGGCAGCAGTGAGTCGAGCGAACCCACTCCCCGTCCGCCTGTGCTCTCATTATGAAATGATCAGGTTTACTTTTGTCTGTCTAGGCCACGCAGGTGAAAACAGGACACCACAGAGGGTGAGAGAGCTAATACATTTCACTTTATCCAGTGAAGGATTTAGTTTGTTTTAATTTAGTTTTGTTTCTCCTGAAACAGAAAAAGAGTGTCCGGTTTGTCTCCACCACCCCTCACAGACTCAGGAAGAGACTTACAGGTACGCCTGGTCTGTTGTAGTTGTGTTCGTTTAGTAACGCTGGTGTAATCTGGGTGTGGTGGGGCTTATTTTCAGCACCAACTCTTCGGTCTGACAGCGACAGTGAACTCTCCCCCTCTGACTCTGAGGAGGACGAGCTCAAAGAAGAGCAGAGAGGGAAGCAAGAGGACAAGGAGAATGTGAAAAAGACGAGAACCCCTAGTAAAGGGCTTTCTGCAGCTCTCTACAAGACTCCTGCCAAGAGGAGCAAGAACACAGCCGAGCCTCTGAATCAGCCCACCATGACCGAGGAGTATTTTGAGGCTCATGGCAGCTCAAAGGTCCTGACGTCGGACCGGACCCTCCAGCGTTTGCACACCCCTAAGTTTGACCGGGTGTGTGAATTAAAAGTTACATGTTAGTCCATTATAATAAAACTTTGGCTAAACTCCACCTCTTTTACTTTTTGGACAGGAGACGTTGGATCGTCTTTTAGAAGATAAACCGTCTTGTTACTCAAAAGAGATCCAGCAGCTGCACGACAAACACAGGAAGCACTTTAACAAATGGATGTTACAGCTGCAGTGAGTGTGGCTGCGTGCCCTTTCCTACGGTTTGACTCTGTTCTACTAAAACGTCTCCCTAGGGGTTGTATGAACTAGTCGACTTCACGGCTCTGTAGTGACTTTTTATGCCTGTCATCGACTAGTCGCTGTCACGTGATAATGACTGACAAGATGCAGTCCTCCAGCAGGTGATGAGCCCCTGCGTCGGGAGGCGGAGGCGACGCGCTGTGCCAGAGCGTCGGTACTGACACCGGCGGTAAAACGGACATTTAACCAAACTGTGACCTTTTCCCTCTTGCAATTTTACCTTCCCCTCATCCCCATCCTAATCTTAACCAGTTTGCGCATGCAAAGCTCTGATCGTTGACGCGCTCCAGACATCTGCGTCCAGAGCACCGCCAAATCAGGTGTCACCACCTCAAAAACTAACTAAACACGCGATCGTTCATGTCGGCTCATTTCCTTTCATGTTTTCTGTCTGTTATTTGTGCCTGATGCGTTTCGCTGCTGCGGAGCGAGGCTCTTCACCTGTTTTGTCCTCCGGTGACGCACCCCCAAGATTCCACTATCTCCGCTCCGCTCCGGCACGAACTCCGCAGCAAAAACGGTCCCGTTGTAGTCGGCCGGCGAGCAGCGGCACTCCGCTGTTTTTGCGGTCGGTAGATCTTTTAGAACTGCAGTTCAAAGGTAACTCATGAGGTGAATATATATGAACCCAGGTAGCAGTTTTTCTTTAGGACTGAGAGGAGATGCAGGAAGATAATAAACAGGCAGGACAGAAAAATAGTCAAATAAAAACAAGTTAGTTTTTGTACCTGCTGGTTGCAACAAACAGACACCATTGAAGGTAATCAGAAGTGAGGAAAAGAAAATGAAATAATTATTTTAATGTTTAGAGCAGCAGGAACTCTGAGAGGCTGCAGGCGCATCAGTGAGTTTGTGGCCGCTGCGCAGGGGGAGGGGGGAGAGGGCTGATGCAGAAACTACCGTTGTTAAAAGAGATGTTTAACTTAGAAAATTCTTTCTTTCTTTCAATTTGGGTGCAATTTTAATTGTCAAAAACTCCAGCGAACCTACCGACCCCCCCCCCCCCCGCCGCTTCAGGTGAATGACGTCATCAACGACTAGTCGAAGTCGACTCGATTTTCATTACTTGACTGTCGACTTTAAAAAAAATTAAGTCATGCAACCCCTACTTCTCCCAAGAGGTGCTTGTTGTTGGTTTGCAGGTTGGGATTCAGTGTTCTGGTTTATGGTTTGGGCAGCAAAAAGGCTTTGCTCGAAGACTTCAGGGTGGCTCATCTGTCTCAAGAGATCCACCTGGTGGTCAACGGGTTCTTCCCCTCCATTACTCTTAAAGCGGTTCGTAGACCAGTGAAAATGTGCGTTTTTATTGCGACTGTCTACAGAAAACAGAACAAACCACAGCTGTCATGTGATCGCGCTGCAGATATTAAACTCCCTGACATGTGAGGTTCTGGAGCACGAAGGAAGTTTCCGCACGCCGTCGGACCAGATCCAGTTCATCGCTCAGACCCTCAAAGGCAGTAAGTCGCTGAGTGAGCGAGACTAGTTGTCTCAGCCTTCACGTTTGTTGGATTTGTGAGTTTTCTTTTCTGACGTCTCTGCAGACCCAGGTCTCCGTGTGTTTTTACTGATCCATAACATTGACGGGCAAATGCTGCGAGGAGAGAAGACCCAGAGCGCACTGGGGCAGCTGGCGTCCTTACCAAACCTGCACTTGGTGGCTTCCATAGACCACATCAATGCTCCACTGGGTGGGTGGTCACGGGAATTAGTACCGCTGTCGGGATCACGGAGAAGCTGGCGCCCATCTCCATCAGCTCGTCACAGGGATTGGTCTGTTCTTGCACCTAAGTGTTCCTAATGTGTTTCCAGTGTGGGACCAGTTCAAGCAGAGCCAGTTTAACTGGTTGTGGTGGGAGTGTGTGACGTTCCAGCACTATGCAGAGGAGACGTCGTATGAAAACTCACTCTTGGTGCAGCAGACGGGTGCTCTCGCTCTGTCCTCCCTCACACACGTGCTCCGCAGCTTGACTCCCAACGCGAGGTACTGCAGCCATGTTGGTCCTAGGGATGCAACGATACCACTTTTTTCCAAACCGATACAATACCGATACTTGGATCTGAATATTTGCCGATACGATTACCGATACCTATACTTCTACCACACAAAAAAAAAGTTATGATTTGGAATACAGATTTTATTTTCTTCTCTGCTTTCAACGGGAAAAGACTGTGAGGTAGATAAAAAGTTAAATACATGAATAGAAATCATCACAAAACTAAATTATCAGGTGAACAGAAATGACAAGTTACAGTGAAGCCATTTTCAAGCAACTGCATTTGTATCGGTTTACTTTTACCGATACCAGTATCGTATCGGTATCTGCACCGATACCAGTATCGGTATCGGTGCATCCCTAGTTGGTCTCTTTATGCTCCCCTTCCCCCTCACTCAGGATTTCAGTCTCAAAAAGAAAAGCTAATAAATGCATCTTAATCCTGAAATAATCTTTGAAAAATCTACATTAACGTGTCACATCTGTGATGTGGTGAACATCCTTCCAACGTTCCAGTTTGTTTTTCTCAAGGTTGGTTTATGCTTGACGCGTCCGCGAGGTCCGCACGACTCCGCGCGGAAAAGTTGCGTCATTTTGCGTCATTTTAACAACCACGCCCCTCCACCGTGCCTCCGCACGGCCCAGAATTTCCGCAACGTGCACCTCGGAAAATTTCTAACCACGCGGACGGACGGATGCGGAAAAACATGGCGGACTGGCAAGAACTAGTATGGCAGAGGTTCATAAATACAGACATTTGTATGATTCAGCTCTCAGAGATCACCGTGATCAACATGTTGTTAATAATTCTTGGAGAGAAATCGCTCGCACTGTCGGAAAAGACGAGGACGCTGTTAAAAATGCTGAAATGCCATGTTGTAAACAGTCATTTCTACTTCTACTATGGTGTAGTGTTGGAAGCATGCCGTAGAGCTCCATGCTGCCCCCTACAGTTTGGGAGAATATTGGCTCACCGCAGAGACGAGCCGCACAAACCATAAACGCTGCCGAGTTGTGAAGCGCGTTCCAGCCGCGACCCGCATCACCGCGCGGAAAGTGAATGTGTCAAGCATAAACCAAGCTTCAGCATCATAATTCTAAAGAGGGAAAAAACGGAAAACTTAACTGTGCTGCATTCCGGGATCTGTAGTTTTTCTGGTTGGTGGGAAGCGCGCCCACAGGCTGTCATAGTACCAGACGGGCCTGCTTTAGCGCTAGAACCGGATCTGATTACTTGTCATATTTTAGGTTTTTAACTGTCGTCTTTTACTCCTGCAGAGGAATCTTCAGACTGTTGGTGAAGTTTCAGCTGGAAAACAAAGACAACCCTTCATACACGGGTACAAAATCCTTCAGCTCCTCCTTTTCATTTCTTCAGTGTGTGACGGTTATAAACATTTGTACGCAGGGTTGTCTTTCCAAGACTTTTACCAGCGCTGCAGAGAAGCCTTCTTGGTGAACTCTGACCTCACACTGAGGACTCAGCTGACAGAGTTTAGGGACCATAAGCTGATTCGGACACGAAAAGTGAGCTTCACCTTACGTTTCCCGCTTCCGCTCTCTGTCCCAGCGTTTCTTTGCTGACTTTGCTTTTCTCTGACCTCCAGGGGGCCGACGGAGTGGAGTACCTGAATGTTGCCGTGGATGCGAACACACTGATGGACTTTTTGGAGAACGAGAAGGATGAATGAAGACAAGACTTAAAATATGTGACCTGTCATTTCTTGTAAATTTATTTGAGCCATTCACTTACTAAAACATTTGCATCTAAGACAGAATTATTGTTTTAAATAAAAAATATTAAATAAGTGAGGGTTGTGTTGTGGTGCTGCTGTTACAACAGAGGGGCGTCTGAAGTTTGAAGCTCGGAAAACGAGATGCACCCTGATCATCAGATCATGACAAAAACTGAACATTCCCACTGAGCTCCGGTGGAGGACAAACCAGAATATTTTAGGCATCTGGCTGATTTGTTCAACGTGAGCTGCGTCTGACTGGATCAAATGTAAGCAGCTGGTGCAGCTGATTCTTTCACTGAGCGGCACAATGATGAATCTTTCATCAGTCGGCATCAGAGATGTGGATAAGTCCAACTTTGTATGTCTATAATGTTGGTGCTCAGTGTTAGAACCAGTATGTGACTGTTGGTTCTTCACAAGACCGTCTGGTCTGCAGACAGATGTTGGAATTGACCCTTCCAGATGTGTCATGGATTTTATCAATAACCCTTTTCCTGCAGTCGGAGAGAGAAGGAGACAATGATCAGACAAGTCAACCAGTTATAACTGCGGCACGATGCACCGAACATCCGGTCACAGAGTTTATTTGTAAAGGGTAGTGATGGGTCCAGCAACACCAGCGCATGTGTCAAGCCCATGGAGTGAAACCTGTGTCGATGCGTGTGTTGCTTTAAGAAAAAGTCATGTGACCGACGCTGCTGTGTCGCTCATTGCCAAGGCGCCAAGCTGTGTTTAAAAGGTATCGACTCCGCATCTGTCAACGGGGTGAGTTGCCGTGAAAAGAAGAAAATTATCATTTCAAAGATAAAACAAGACATCCCTCTCTACATCAACAAAATGGAGCCAGAGAGAAAAAGAAAAGTCCCTGCTGTGTGGGATCATTTTGTATCTTCTGCAAATAAGGTGCGTGTTGGTCTTTCCTTCTTTCAGCGCATCTGTCAGAGTTGAAAACAGCAATGTGACTGACTCAGTCACAGTGTAAATTATTTATTTAAATTTATTTAGGTTAAATGTCGCATCTGCTCAGCGGAGTTGTCTTTTACGAATAAGAGCACTTCCTCAATGCTGAGACATTATAGTCAAGCATGGAAACGAAGAGGAAGCAAATACACCAAGAACGAACACAGGTAGACCTATTTAGACACTGGGCATGCTTTCTCACAATTGTTTTACTAATATATGTTTTATTATTTTGAAATCAAGAATCTAGGAAGATTGCTCTGGACCTGTCATGGTCTGTGTGAGGGATCAAGCCGAATGAGTGGAGGAACACAGGCAATTTCCAAAAATAGACTCTTTAATTTCCGTTTTGTTTTAAAATGTCCTCACAAAAACAGCTCGAGCTCATAAAAGAGGTCAGACAAACAAACTGAAACTCAATAAACTGCTAACTTAACATACTGACTGACTGAACCATAACCGACCTCCCAAACAAAGACACACAAGGGTATATATACACATTGGCTGATCAGACCATATGAACAATAGGGATTACTAGACAAACATTTACTAACTAAAACTAAAACCACAAATCAGTACAGTCAGATTGTTAATAAACCTAAACATCCTAACCCATAAACCTAACTATTTAACTTCAAACTTAAATTAATTAACAAATGACAAAATAATAAATTAAAGGAAATTCTTCAGTCCCCTCTTCAGGGAGCTATTGGTTTGGTCCCATCAGCTCCTCCTGTATTTAGCTGACAGAACCCCTTCAACCCTGTTTGCCTGTCCCATCTCAGGAAGCAGGAAGTGGAGAACCCCAGCACCGGTAAGAGAAAACAAATCAACTTAAATTGAACAAATGAAAGGCATAAAATACAGCAGTTAACTAAATGTGCGCGCTTACAATTAGAACTAATGCATTTCAGCCATCTAAACAATAAAGCCAAAGAAATATAAACATACAAACTGCAATCATAAAAGTGCAAGAGTGTACTTAACATTCACCGTTGTGTGGACATGGATGTGGCCATCACATGCCCCCCCACTCAGTTGTCCTCACAGCGTGAGAGGTAGTCGGCTGTGGTATTGTCTCTGCCAGGGATATGTTGAACCTTGAATCTGAATGGTTGCATGGCAAGATACCATCGGGTTATACGCCCATTAGTATCCTTCATCCTGTTAAGCCATTCGAGAGCCTTATGATCCGTTTGCAGAGTGAATTCTCTCCCCAGCAGATAGTACTTAAAGGAATCCAGAGACCACTTTATGGCCAATGCCTCTTTTTCCACTGTTGCATAGCATCTCTCTCGGGCCAACAGCTTGCGACTGATGTAAGCCACGGGATGCAGCTCCTCTGATGTCCCTTGTAGAAGGACCGCCCCCAAACCCCTCTCAGAAGCATCAGTCCGCAGAATGAAGTCTCTTTGAAAGTCTGGAGAGTACAAGACTGGTTCCACACTCAAGGAATGCTTAATGTCTTGAAAAGCTGCCAGGGCCTCCGCAGTCCACCGGATTTTGTTGGGGCTACATGAGCCCGTCCTATCGGTCAATGGCGCTGCCCTTGCAGAAAAGTTGGGGACGAATCGGTGGTAAAATGAGACCATCCCAAGGAACGACCGCAACTGCTTCCTAGTCTGTGGAACAGGACATGTTTCGATTGCATGAACTTTATCAACCTGGGGCTTAATAATCCCACCTCCAATGGTGAACCCAAGGTATTGAATCTCCCTCCTGGCCACAGCACACTTTGCGGGGTTGATTGTCAGACCAGCAGCCTGTAAACGCTTCAGAACTTCCTCAAGATGTGCCATATGCTCCTCCCATGTGTCACTGAAAATGACAATGTCATCCAAATATGCACATGCAAACCCTCTCAGGTCACATAGAACCTGGTCCATTAGCCTCTGGAATGTAGCCGGGGCCCCATGGAGGCCAAATGGTAAAACAGTGAACTCGAACAAGCCCCAAGGGGTGCGGAAAGCTGTTAGCTCCTGAGACTGGCTGGTGAGGGGAACCTGCCAGTACCCCTTTGAGAGATCAATGGTGGTCAGCCATATGGCTTTCCCCAGACTGTCAGTGAGCTCATCAATCCGTGGCATTGGGTACGAATCAAATCTTGAAACAGAATTTAAATACCTGAAGTCGATACAGAAGCGAATCGTTCCATCCTTTTTAGGAACTAGGACTACAGGGTTACACCACTCACTTGTTGAACGTTGAATGATCCCAAGAGCCAGCATTGAGTCCACCTCCTTCTTCAGGTCAATCAGGTACCGCTCTGGTATTCTGTAACTCATGCGCCTCACATTTGCATCAGATCTTAATACAATGTTGTGTTTAACCAGCGCCGTTCGACCTGGGCACTCATTGAATATTTCTGGGTTAAGCAGAGGCTTTACCTGGGACTGCTGCTCTTTAGTGAGGTGACCCAAGTCCAGGGCTGAAGATGCAGTTGAAGGCAGATATTCAGCCACATCCTCCTCTTCCACCACATGTCGGATCAGCAGTGTTTCCGTATTGCCAACTGCCTGTGGAACCCACTCCTTCAACAAGTTGACATGAAGAACTCTACTTCCCCGCTGCAGACCTGGAGTAGAGATCTTGTAAGTGGTAGGCCCCAATCGTTTCAGAACCTCAAATGGTCCCTGCCACTTTGCCAGCAGCTTGCTGTCACAAGTTGGTAACATCAACAGAACCTTTTGGCCTTGAAGAAAACTACGTTGTCGAGCTCCTTTATCAAACCACGATTTCTGGTGCTGTTGGGCAGATGCCATGTGCGATTGAGCCAGTTCACTCATGTCTTGCAACTTATCCCTCATTTGGATTACATAGGAAATTATGTTAATTGGCTCTGCCTTACCCTGGTCTCCTTCCCACGTCTCTCTCAGCAGGGTCAAAGGACCCCTCACCTCATGCCCATAGAGGAGCTCAAACGGGGAGAAACCAGTAGAAGCCTGAGGGACCTCTCTGTAGGCAAAGAGAAGATACGGGAGCCACTGGTCCCAATCAGACCCAGTACTGTTGACAAACTTACGAAGCATCTGTTTCAAAGTCTGGTTGAAGCGCTCAGTCAGTCCATCCGTCTGTGGATGATATGGAGTTGTCCGCATGCTCCTGATGCCCAGCAACCTATAAACCTGCTGCAACAAGGTTGACATAAAATTAGTCCCTTGGTCAGTAAGAATTTCTTGTGGAAACCCAACTCTTGAGAATAGTTGAATCAATGAGAAAGCCACAGCCTTTGCTTTGATGTTTTTTAATGGAAAAACTTCTGGATATCTTGTAGCATAGTCAGTGATGACCAGCATATAACGGTTTCCTGCTTTGCTCTTTTCCACAGGACCAACAACATCCATTCCAAGGCGTTCAAACGGTGTACCAATTATTGGGAGCGGCTGCAGTGGTGCTCTAATGGGAACTTTAGCTGAAGTGATTTGACACTGAGGGCAGCTTCTACAAAACCGGGCAACATCTGAACATAAACCAGGCCACAGAAAATTGCGTTTGATACGTTGAGTGGTCTTATGTTTCCCCAGGTGGCCAGCCCAGGGAATTGAGTGGCCCAACCTTAGCACAGTCTCCCGGGCTGCTTTAGGGACCACCAGTCGTTTCAGCTGGCCATGGTGATGGTACAAAATGCCATGTTGAAGGATGTATCGGCCTCTCTTAGTGTCGTATTCTGCCTCAGTTTCACCTTTAGCCTTCAGCAAAAGAGCAGACAGGGTCAAATCATCTTGTTGCATTTGTCTTATATCATTAGGAATCGTAAACCCCAAGGGCAGATCTGGAGCTTCTTCATTTTGACCTCTTTGCACATTATATTCCAACTTCTCATGCCTTTTCTGACTACGTGCTTTACGAGTCTTCCCAGGTTGTCCTTCCACGTCAGACTCAAAGAAAGGCAAAGTACTGAGAGTTGTAAATTGGTCACTTTGAGTTTTTGCTTGAGCCCTTGTCACAGCTGCATTACAGCTTTCCACTTCCTTCAACAGATCATAGATGACAGGCAGATCCTCCCCCAAAATCACAGGGTAAGGGAGATTGTCTGCCACACCAACCTTTAGCAAATATGTAGCCCCTTGTACCCCAATACACAAATCAGCTGTGGGGTAAGATTTCTCA